TCGGCAAAAGCCACCGGTACTTCACGCTCGGCCGAACCTGCCACACTGCCTTCCCCCCACTCCTCCGAGCCACTCCATCCGCAGTGTCATACGCGATGTTCCGAAATGCAGCTGCCTCATGAGAATCATTCTGCCCGGAAATGTTTTTCTGGGCCTCTGTAATCCACCAGTAGTCACAGGAAGAGTAACTTCCTTCTGTTTGTTCTCCCCATGGTAGGTATCTTGGCCAAGGGTCATACACCCACTGCCCTTTAGACGCCAAACAATCAAACCTTGTCTCAAACCTCCTGACCTCGGCTACAGTCGCAAGTCTGGATCCCGGGATCAACGGTTGAGATTGATCGACAGTTGAAGCTTCAACTCCAGTAACCCCTGCACCTTCCTTCTTTTCCACCTCAATTGATACCGGCCCGGCCGCTCCCCTCCTATCCTCGCGGCTGTTAGAACCTAATACTGACACTCCAAACGGAATTGGCGACAGGGACGCGCGAAAGTCTGAAGCGATAATCTTGGAGCAGATCCCGACTGCGATACACGTGGCGAATAGAACGAGCACGGAACTCCGCACGCTGCCTACAACCATGGCTTTTGGCATCGCAGGTGTCGCCATCGCTCGTCGTTAAAAAAACTCGATATATTCTGCATTCGTAACGGGTACAGGTGGGATTCAGTATATTCGGGTGCAGAACAGCGACTGCGAGAAGGAAATGCAGCTACGAAGCAGCTCAAAGCAGCATATGACGCACCGTCTACGCTCGTAGTTTCCCAAGACGGTCTCTCTATTCTCAGAAGATGCACGCTGCAGAACACATTACCCCAGAGCAGCACCGCAGCAGCGAATTCTGCACCCACTCTGGCGTCTGCGCACGTATTAAACTGCTTGCGAGCTTCTGTGACGGACGATCTGATAAGAATCTATCGGTGTCTCCTATATGGCAGCGGCGGTATGAGCTTCTGCTGCCCAACTTCAGCGACCATCCCAAAAATTCAACTGCCGAAATTGGCTCGAAATCGTGGGATACCTCAACGCATCGCACGCGAGGTTACCCTCAAGAACCCAACAGGAAACATGAGGGCAACAACGATATCAAGCGAAAAAATTGACCAATCAGGATGCAGGAGAGTTTCGAGGTTACCTCAAGGAAACCCCACTGCCTCGGAACGAGGCTAGTCCACTGGCTTGGTCGAACTGTTTCGGAAACCGAAGCTGACCCGCAGCAGGTTTCGATAATAGTGTAAGTTCTAGCAGCACTGCTGAATGATGAGATTGGTTAACGCGCCTCACCATATCGTGTTGTATTCTGATAAGTTTCGCTGAGAAGCAGGCAGAATAACTGTCACCAATCAAATCCTTCCACGTCACTTCTGCACCGCAGATCCGTCTAAGTGTATTTCAGTGGTTCTAACAGTTGCTCTGATTCAGTTGTTGAATCATCCATCTCACGCTTTTTCCAACTCGCCATGGCGTCATAGCTCCGCGATCGTCGCTACTTGGAGCTTAGTTGTCAGAAAGCTGTCCGTGCACGCTCTATGACTAGGATCCTTTAAATTTCCAGTATTTTACCATGGACTTCATAGGGTTTCCGGTATTGCCGAAGTCGAATAACGAGTAATTTCTATATTCTCTGATGATTGTTTCTTTATGGCAGATTACCGATGGCGGAAGCGATGCCAGGGTTTGTGCCGCCATCACGTACTGCCGTAGATCTCGTTGTCGCGGCGAGGCTCTTAGTAGCGGTCGTGAGGTAAGCGATATGACCGTGATGTGATAATTTATGATTTATGTCCTTTGGAGTTTCTGGATGAGCGCCGCTCGTTCTGTTTGGCATCATGTCGTCATCCTGTTTCGCAGGTTGAAGCCACATTTCTCTTTGTCAGCCACCCAGTTTGCTCTTGCTTTCTTATTGTCATTGTATGTTTCACTGCAATCCGATGCCCTTGCGTCTTAATTTGCGCCTTGATTTTGCAGGCGCTAGTTCACCGAGCCTCCTAGCTGCCAGATTCTCTTCGCCTGGTAAGCACGTTCGCCACTCGGTAATAGACAGCTGTAATTTCGCACTAGTGTTTCCCAGTCCGTCTGGGTCTTGACATGTTCCCATTCTGTGTTGTGTTCACTACTCAGGTGTGACAGGAACTATGAATCAACGACCTGATTCTGAAGAAGTGTTATTTTCAAAGATATTTGCATCTCTATTTGATCTGAAACTTACTCTGTGCAGTCATAGTTTGTCTTTTGCACACTTGCACGGTGGTGTAAGTCCTAACATTGTGTTTTGAATGTATTCATCATTGTCCTGTGCTGCTCTTCCCCACACAACACCGTCGCCTGGCGGTTGAGAGCCTCCAATCTCTTCGAGGCATGGCCCACAACGATGCCACCCTGGCCCGTTTGACATCCCTTCAGGGCCCGGGGGCTGGGGCGTGGGTTTCTGCCGTTCCTTCGCACGAGGAGGCTACCTTCACCGCAGCCGAGTGGAGCATCTGCGCGTCCATGCGCCTAGGCCTCCCTATTCAGCAGCTGATAGTGGCCGGCAAGTGCGCGTGTGGGTTTGAGTTTGCTGATCCCTCTGACCCGCATCATGCCCTTCGCTGCAAGTATCAGTATGCACCTTCTCGGGTTCACGATGCGGTTAAATTTGTGGTGGCGAAGATAGCTAAGGGTGCGGGTGGGATTGTGACCATGGAAGACGACACGTTGCTCCCAGGGAAGAGGGTTGATGTGGCGGTTCGGAAACTGAGGGAGGGGGAGGAGCACGCGCTGGAGGTTAGTGTGGTAGATCCTATCTCGCTATCCGCGCAGCACCATGGACAGATTGGTCGCAAGGTGGGTTTTGCCGCGAGAGAGAGAGAAAAGCGGAAGACGGCGGACTACAAATCGCTTCTACAGCGGCATGGGGGAGTGCAGTTCACACCACTCATTGCTGAGACATGGGGATGCTTGGGGGGGAGTTTTGGACGGTGGCTTAAGAAACAGGGTGACGCGCAGATCGAGATAGCAAAGACGAAAGGGGCGGCGCGAGCTACGGGAAAGGGTTTCTCGGCTTATTTGCTCGGATCGCTCAAAGCGGCTGTGGGTGTGGCTTTGCAACGGGCTCAGGCGCGTGTGATCTTGTTACGCGCTGCGTCGATGATGAGAGGCCCAAAGGCTGTTTGGGTGGAGCGGGAGGATGTTGAGGAGGAGATGGGATGGGATGCTCCGTGGGCGGATGCACCATACTTGGTAGACATGCGGGTTTAGAAAGTGGGTTTAGGGGGGGAGGTTTGGTTCGATGGGAGTGCAGTTGGGGTGCTTTGATGGGAGGGCTTGATGGTGTTTTAAATGTGTGTGCTATTGGGGTTTTCTTGGGGTTGTGTGTGCTGTTTTTTCTTCCTTCTTCCCTGTTTTTCTTCCTCCTATCATTTTTCCCCTATTCCCCTCCTTCTTTCTTCCTCTCTCCTTTTTTCTACTCACGTTATTCCTCCTTTTCTCCTCTCTTCCCGTTTCCACTCCTTTTCCTTGCGTAATTATGCTACATTGTAATAGATAGTACCTCGATTGCTTAAAAAAAAAATGTTATCAATCGTGTACGTGCATCTTTATATGGCGCACTCTTTATTTGGTATATTTAGCATATACAGGAAATGAGTCTTAGACGATGGAAACAGGCTTTATGAAATAGCATCAATACTATCAGCGATTAAAATGAGTCAAAATGACCCTAATTACATTATTATATGACAACGAGAAATAATTTAGTGTACTGTATGATTTGCTGGTCGCGAACAGTCTCACAGCGCGTACCAAGGTCGCGCATGATTCGTTCCAGGAATCTGGGAGAGGTTTCCTTGCAGTAGCTTCGCGGTTTCCCGCAGGTCACCTCATGTGGGTAACCTCGGGGTCACCACGAACTTTGAGGTAACCTCGCGGAATCCTATACTAAATCTTTTGGGTTACCTACAGCGGGGTAACCTGGAGGAAACCTTGGGGTAGGTTTTTGCCGGTTCAATTAATGTTTGTGACAAACACTCAATCAGTCTGGAAAAGTTCATTCGATGTCATGGCGGATGGTTGATTGTTTCTCTCACCAGCACAGTCCCTTCCCCATTCCCGACAACAAAGGACAGCCCAGCCCAACTGGGTGCTGTGTTTTCGTGAATGTCAGAATGACGGAGCATCTATTGTATTCACAAACACCCAGCCTTCGCGAGTAAAACTTCGGCCTCTCACGATTGGCCTATGACTCAAACGAGGAACCACAACGCTGTAAACGAAATGTAACTAAGAGCAAGCGATGAGTGGGGCATGTGATGCCCGCCATAACGGTTGCAATGACCGCGGGTTGGAGGCGGGATCTGGGTGGGCAAAGTGATTCATGACCCTTTAAGAATAATATAGAAAAAAACGCATATATTGGAAAAACATAAACATCCATACCAGCACAGAAAAGGTATTATTATATATAAAGCGATTATGAAAGGAATGACATAAGTATAAATTACAGACATATATTATTTATATATGTACTATGTATAGTGAATTTACGAGATTTTGCTTGCATTAGTTGTTAATTGTATAATAATACCTTACAGGTTGAGATGGGATTGGTGCTTCATGCCATAAATATAGCAGAAGCACCTCTTGTTTCGCTGTAGCTGTACTAGGCTATTGCTTCTTGCGAAAGGATATTTTCGTTCAGATTTGTCGCAGCCGTTTCCCGAAACTTCTCGCCCCGTCAAAATCGTTGCAGAGTGGAGCGAAAACAAATCAGCCGCTGATATTGCGGTTGTTCCTTACGCCCCAAAATCCTCGTGAGCCAATCCGGTGCCGCTGAGTGGAAAGCTGGGGATAAGGCGAGCAACTCCCTGGGTTCAATCAGAGGGGACCACCGTCCAACGAACCCGTGCCTGCATCGTCCATCCAAAAGAAAGTGGACCGACTCCTCCAGTTTGACGCCTGGTAGCATTCTCCTTTCGATCTCTTCAGCTCAACACAGCTACCTCGTCCACCTCCACACAGCTCAATGGCTGCCCTCGCCTCCTCCCTCAGCTCCGTTGCTGCCGCAGCAACCCTGAAGGTGGCTGTCAGCAGCAAGGTCTCTACCTCCCGTGTTGTGAGGTTGACCGTCCGTGCCGAGGAGAAGGCCGCTGCCGCTGCTCCTATCGGCCCCAAGCGCGGTGCCACCGTGAAGGTCCTCAGGCCCGAGTCGTACTGGTTCAATGACACCGGCAAGGTCGTTTCCGTTGACCAGGTGAGCGAACGTTACTTACTGTCGCTGTCGGTAGATTCGCTTCGGTCGTATTGCCTAGGCATAGTTTTGTGTCCTCCCTGGGGATCTGCTCACTTACCTCGCCCAATCTTTTGTACAATGCAGAGCGGCATCCGCTACCCCGTTGTCGTGAGATTCGAGAAGGTGAACTACGCCGGCGTGTCCACAAACAACTTCGCTGTGGATGAGGTCGTTGAGCTCTAAATGTACAGCGGCTAGTAAATGTCTACTCTGTATGGCCTTCTGAGTAATTGAGCTGCCTTCACACTTCCCGTTTTGTTTAGGTGGTACTTTTGTTAAGATATACACGGGAAACTGATCTGCATTTATTCGTTGCTCTTCGATCGCGAAACATTCAAAAAACAGATAGGCAGAATTGTGATTACCGTGGCTTAGTAACAGGTCAATGTTAAGATAGTACGACTTCCAACCAGTCATCCACCAAGACGTAGTAATCTTCATCCAACTTCATTTTGCCGAATTTACTGCCATAGACTTGAATACCGTCTGTGATCTGAATCGCACCACGAGTTCACTAAGACGGTCGACACCAAACTATGACGAGAATCAGTATTTGATAGCCACATCCAAGCCAGAAACACGATCAGAGCTCGAGACAAAGACGTGCAGGAAAGAACAATTACGTTGATAAGAACAGCAGTTGCACATTATAATGTTCGAACATTCAGGGTGATGGATTCTAAAGACAGTCATCAACGACCCTCCTAAACAGCCCTCTAACCTCTGCCAGATCCTCCTCCACCCCTTTCAACTCTGCTGCCATCTCCTTTGCTACTGCCTCGTTCTCAGCATTCAGCTCTGCTATTCTTTGAAGCTGCTCCTCTTCTGTCAGGTCAATGTCAGGAGGTAACGCATCCACACGCATGTCAAAAAGCTTCAACGCCTGAACTAGGGCTGACGCCATTTCAGGAACCTGTTCAATTACAGGGACGGCTGGTGCCGCAGCGACCGATGAGTCAGTTCCTGCTGCGGCGGTACCTTCTGCAACAGGCCCAACGGCACCTTTAGGGGCTGTGGCTCCGTTAGCTACTGCGCCTGGCCCCGTTGAAGCAGCAGATGGTATGGCGGCGCCTGTGTTCCCTGGTCTAGAGGCTGTAACCGGCTGACCGATTCCAGGTGCAGCTGGTGTGGTTGGCGCGGGAAGTGGTTTGCCAGGAATGGTTGACGGAGTGGCGTCTCGTTGAAGTGTGCCGACAGTGTTGAAAAGGAGGAAGGCGATGTGGTTGGTGTGGTCCTGGAGCTGTGATACTATGTCCATGGCGATGTCGAGTGGCGATTTAAAGAAAGGAAAAAGAACGTACGTATCTAAAACGTAGGACGTGCAACGTGGTAGGCGCGACGAACAGGGCCTAAGAGGACGATCACGAACCGCAGGCCCTAATTCCCACGCAACCCTGCTGTGCCGTGCCGAGCTTGCAGGTCCTGGAAGCTGTCAAGCTTCAGCAGAAGAGATAGGAGAGGTGTAGCAATGAATGGATATCCGTGTCAAGAATTAGGGAACTGGATGTTTTTTATTTTGGGGAGCACTTCAGCGGGTAAAATTGTCCAGCTGGTCGTGAGGGGTCATACGTGGCGACACTTTCGGCTTCACATTCTCTTCTGTCACACCTCATCTTCCAAAATGGCACAAAAACTGCAACAGCTTCGCTGTTGGCTAAACATGCCAAGCAAATGCTTCAGCTTGAAGCTGATTTGTGATTGTATAAACGCATCAATTTCCACCCTATCCAGTTTTCCACGTGGTATTTGGAAGCGGGGTGGTGTTGAAGAAATATATAAAGGTTTTATTCGTTTTGTTTGCATTTCAAATCGGTAATCAGCGAGAATCGTCTCTTAGGCTGCATCTCCTTACATCCTCAACCCTCCAGTGTCAGGAGCCATTTTGGGGACTTGATCCTCCTTATCGTTCGTTATACTGGCGAATCGCCGCCGTTGATTGCACCTGCGCCACGGCACAGAGCATTTACATCCTCCCGTGTCGCGCGATCAACCTAACAGACCAACCCCGCTCACAATGGCGGCTGCAGTCGCTGAGAACATCTCCGTTAGCTGCCGACAGCTAACCGGAAACGTGACGGTTGAGTCAAATGGACGGAGAAGCGTCAGCCTCCAGACGCGGTACGACGGTTAGAAACCAGCTGCCGTGTTAGTCGGCCGATTCATGTCGCGATTATCCTTCGATGGGGATTCCCTGATTCACGATCTCAGCTTTCTCTCGTCCAGTTAGCGGAAGGCATTTGAGACGTTTCAAAAGATGACTGAGTATCCAATCCTGCTCGTTATGCTTCCATGCGTTTCCGTGTGTTGCCGTGTGTCGATCTCAGCTTCCTCTCCCGCGGTCAGCGGAAGGAGCTCGCAGCGCTGCGCGTCAAGCTCAGGAAATCCGCGGCTCGCTCTGGTGAGTGTAACTTACAGTTCCCCCTTTTGAGAGTATCTTACAGGTTCTGTAGTAAGTGCGAGTTATTGGTCTCTCCGACGTTGTAAGGCCAGGTCATGCCGCCGTTTCATCGCGGCATTCCCGGTCGCTAAACCCCAGCGTAGCGTGCAAGCAGCGGTGGCTCGCAAGATCGCCAGTGCATGCGGAGTAATCCGTTGCTGTCACGAGAGCTTCCCATCGTGTTTCGTCTCTGCCATTGCATTTTCAAGCAACAGCCAGCTGCCAGCAGCATAGCTTCCCGTATAGCATAGCACAGCTGTCCTGCTGTATTGCGCGTTTCGTTGATCTGCTTTTGACCGGCGCCTCAAAAGGGAAACGTCTCATCGGGTTCCGTCTCTTCCCCATTCCCCTCCCCATTCCCCTCCCCATTCCCCTCCCCGTTCCACTCCCCATTCCACTCCCCATTCCCCTCCCCATTCCCCTCCCCATTCCCCTCCCCATTCCTCCGGTGATCACAGCAGCGTCAGCAGCGCGCACCCCAGTGGCAGCAGCGGCGCACACAGCGGAGGCGGTGGAGAGCTTGAAGCTGGAGCCTATCCCCATCCCGCCGCTCACTACATGCCCTTTTTCGACCATTCTCCTCCCCATCCCTCCAGCAGTGATCGCAGCAACAGCCGCCCGTGAGCCGGTGGCAGCAGCGGCGCACACAGCAGAGGCGGTGGAGAGCTTGAAGCTGGAGCCTATCCCTATCCCATGGCTCACTACTCGATTTGAATGCATTCTTCTCCTCCCACCGCCCGTCTGTCCTCCCTGGCAGTGATTGCAGCCGCCCGTCAGCCAGTGGCAGCAGCGGCGCACACAGCGGAGGCGGTGGAGAGCTTGAAGCTGGAGCCTATCCCTATCCCATGGCTCAGTGCTCACTACTCGATTTGAATGCATTCGTCTCCTCCCACCGCCCGTCTGTCCTCCCTGGCAGTGATTGCAGCCGCCCGTCAGCCAGTGGCAGCAGCGGCGTACACAGCGGAGGCGGTGGAGAGCCTGAAGCTGGAGCCCATCTCTCAGATCAGCGGCACCGTCAACCTGCCCGGCTCCAAGTCCCTCTCCAACCGCCTCCTGCTGCTCGCTGCTCTCGCCAAGGTATGTTAGACGCCTATCCCCTCCTTTCCTCGCGTTCTGCACTCGAATCAGCGGTACCGTCAATCAGCTGCCCTCGTCCTTTCTTTGCCTTTTATGAGTCATTGAGTCGGATTAAAAGCACCTGTCCGGCAGTCTGTCAACCACCAACCTGTCCGGCTCCATATCTCTCTCCCTCCCGTCTCTTCTCTACCCCCCACCCCACCCCCCCCCCCCCCCCCCCCCCCCCCCCCACACCTAACCCCCCACCGCCTTCTCCACTCGACAGGGCGAGACGGTGGTGGACAATCTACTCGCCAGCAACGACGTCACCGACATTCCATGCTCGCCGCCCTGCGCTCCCTGGGAGTGCCTCTCGTGGAGATGAGATGAGATGAGAGTCATACCCTAATTACCCCTGTTCCCCTCGCCCGCACCCCCTCTCCCTCTCCCTCCCCTTAGGGCGAGACGGTGGTGGACAATCTGCTCGCCAGCGACGACGTCACCTACATGCTCGCTGCTCTGCGCTCCCTGGGAGTGCCTCTGGTGGAGATGCCTGAGAAGCGGCGGGTCATAGTCACGGGCAGCGCAGGGGTGTTCCCCGTGGGGAGAGAGGAGGAGGGGGAGGGGGGGAAACCAGGGGAAACGGTGGATCTGTTTCTAGGGAACGCGGGGACCGCCATGCGCCCGCTCACTGCTGCTGTGGCCGTGGCTGGGGGCAACAAGAGGTACGTCCTTTAGGGCGCTGAAGAGGGGAAAGAGGGGAAAGAGGGGAAAGAGGGCACGGAGGGGGGAAATGTGGTGGATCTGCTTCTGGGGAACGCGGGGAGGGACGGCCATGCACCCGCCCGCTCACCGCTGCCGTGGCCGTCGCTGGAGGGAACAAGAGGTACTTGCAGGGGAGGCAACAAAGGTTCGGGTTTTGGCTATAGATGTTTAGTAAAGTGTGTGTCTGAGTGTGCCTCTTGATTGAAGGGGAGTGAGTGGGTGTGGGCTGTAAGTCTCTCCGCACCTTCTTCACCGCACCCCACCCCTTCCCACCACTCTCCATCCCTCTCCGCCCATCAGCTACGTCCTGGACGGGGTTCCCAGGATACGTGAGCGCCCCATTGGCGACTTGGTGGCGGGGCTGCAGCAGCTGGGGTGCGACTGCGAGTACCTAAAAGTCTCTCCACACTCCCTTATACCGCATTCCACCCCTCCAGCTACGTCCTGGATGGAGTTCCCAGGATGCGTGAGCGCCCCATAGGCGACTTGGTGGCGGGGCTGCAGCAGCTGGGGTGCGACTGCGAGTACCTAAAAGTCTCTCCACACTCCCTTATACCGCATTCCACCCCTCCAGCTACGTCCTGGACGGAGTTCCCAGGATGAGGGAGCGCCCCATAGGCGACCTGGTGGCGGGGCTGCAGCAGCTGGGGTGCGATTGCAAGTGCCTATAAGTCTCTCCACACTCCCTTATACCGCATTCCGCCCCTTACCCACCACAGCTACGTGCTTGATGGGGTCCCCAGGATGAGAGAGCGCCCCATAGGCGACTTGGTGGCGGGGCTGCAGCAGCTGGGGTGCGACTGCGAGTACCTAAAAGTCTCTCCACACTCCCTTATACCGCATTCCACCCCTCCAGCTATGTCCTGGACGGAGTTCCCAGGATGCGTGAGCGCCCCATTGGCGACTTGGTGGCGGGGCTGCAGCAGCTGGGGTGCGACTGCGAGTACCTAAAAGTCTCTCCACACTCCCTTATACCGCATTCCACCCCTCCAGCTACGTCCTGGATGGAGTTCCCAGGATGCGTGAGCGCCCCATTGGCGACCTGGTGGCGGGGCTGCAGCAGCTGGGGTGCGACTGCGAGTGCTCCCTGGGGACCAACAAGCTTCCCTTGTCTCTCTCTCCCAACTCACTGTCACCGCTCTGCACCCCACCTAACCCACAGCTACGTTCTGGATGGAGTCCCGAGGATGAGGGAGCGCCCCATAGGCGACCTGGTGGCTGGGCTGCAGCAGCTGGGGTGCGACTGCGAGTGCTCCCTGGGGACCAACTGCCCTCCCGTGCGCGTGGCAGCTAAGGGAGGCCTCCCTGGCGGCACGGTGAGTGGATTGAGATGGCTGTGGGGCAGTGGATGTGGCTGTAGCTGTACTGGCTGAGTCAGTAGATGTGGGCGGGCAGCAGCAGCTGCTGCAGCAGCTGGGGTGTCACTGCGAGTGCTCCCTGGGCACCAACTGCCCGCCTGTGCGCGTGGCGGCCAAGGGAGGCCTCCCTGGCGGCACGATGAGCATCTAGAGAGGGCTGTGGGTGAAAGGGAGGACAGTAGTAGCAGCAGCAGAAACACAACCACCTGGGGTGTCACTGCGAGTGCTCCCTGGGGACCAACTGCCCGCCTGTGCGCGTTGCAGCCAAGGGAGGCCTCCCTGGCGGCACTGTAAGTACCTGGGATTTGGTGGTAAGGTAAGGTCCCTATGTGGAGATGACTCTTCTCTCTCTGCTGCTGCCTCATTCCCCTTTTCCCACACCCCAACCCTCCCCCACCCCTCCCCCAACCTCCCCTGGCCCCCAAGTGAAGCTGTCAGGGGCGGCGAGCAGCCAGTACCTCACGGCGCTGCTCATGTCGCTCCCCCTGGCGAAAGGGAGACAGCTCTATTGAAATGATTGACAAGCTCGTGTCTGTGCCCTATGTGGAAATGACTCCCTCTCTCCCTGCTGCTGCGTGCCCCTTCCCCACCTTCCCCCCTCCCCCACCTTCCCCCCTCCCCCACCTTCCCTCCTCCCCCAGGTAAAGCTGTCAGGGGCAGTGAGCAGCCAGTATCTGACCGCTCTTCTCATGAGCTTGCCCCTGGCGAAAGGAGACAGCAGCATTGAGATGATTGACAAGCTGGTGTCAGTGCCCTATGTGGAAATGACTCTCCGCCTCATGGAGAGATTCGGGGTGAACGTACAGACGGAGGGGAATTGGGAGCAGTTCCTGATTCCCGGCAACCAGACGTACATGTGAGTCAGGCCTCGGCCGTATGTGAAGGGTGAGATGATCGACAAGCTCGTATCCGTGCCCTATGTGGAAATGACTCTCCGTCTGATGGAGCGGTTCGGGGTGCATGTTGAGACCGAGGGCAACTGGGAGCGCTTCGCTATTCCAGGCAACCAGACGTACATTTGAGTATGCTCTTGGTGTGTGTGGGTGTGCGTGTGGGTGCGTGTGGGTTCGTGTGGGTGCGTGGGTTTGAGACTGGCAACAAGCTCGTATCCGTGCCCTATGTGGAAATGACTCTCCGCCTCATGGAGCGGTTCAGGGTGCACGTGGAGACAGAGGGCAACTGGGAGCGCTTTGGCATCGCAGGCAACCAGACGTACACGTGAGTCCGGGCTTGGGCGTATGTGATGTGAGGGAGCGAATGTGGATGAGGGGGTGAGATGATCGACAAGCTGGTGTCGGTGCCCTATGTGAGTGCGGGCGTGTGTGTGAGAGAAGGAGGAGGGAAGGAGATGGTAGACAAACTGCTGAGACTGGCAACAAGCTGGTGTCGGTGCCCTATGTGGAGATGACCCTTCGTCTCATGGAGAGGTTTGGAGTGCACGTGCAGACAGAGGGCAACTGGGAGCGCTTCCTGATTCCAAGCAACCAGACGTACATGGGAGTGCAGTGCAGTGCACAGGCCTGAGTGCGTGTACCCTATGTCTCTCTCTTCCACTCCTCCCCGACTCGGCTCCACACCCCCTGTTTCTTTGTGGAAGGAGATGCCTCCAGCTCCAGTTTCTGTCCATCCCTCACCCGTCCACGTCACGCCAATTCCTGCACTTCACCCTTCTTGTCTCTGTTCTGTTCCCTTACCCGCCCATTCCACTGTCCAGCTCCCCCGGGCGCGCCTTTGTGGAGGGGGATGCATCCAGTGCCAGCTATTTCCTTGCTGGGGCGGCCATCACTGGAGGGACCGTCACTGTTCATGGGTGCGGGCGCAGCAGCCTGCAGGTGAGAAGAGCGGTTGTAGGTACTCTGTCCTTGTTTGTGGATGGGGATGCATGTGCTTCCAGCGCCAGCTATTTCCTTGCTGGAGCGGTCATCACTGGGGGGACTGTCACGGTGCATGGGTGCGGGCGCAGCAGCCTGCAGGTATGAACGCGGATAGCATTTGGGGTTTAAGGTTCGGGTTTAGGGGAGGTGCATGGTGCGTCCAGTGCCAGCTATTTCCTTGCTGGGGCAGCCATCACTGGAGGGACCGTCACTGTGCACGGCTGCGGGCGCAGCAGCCTGCAGGCTATGTTGCGGAAGACGCAGGGACCGTCCTGCGTCTAGCGTCTAGACGCAGCGTCTAGACGCTAGACGCAAGACGCACCTTTAGACGCTAGACGCATGGGGGGAAAATTTTCGGTCAGCCCGAAAAAAAAAAACGCGCGCGCGAAATTTCAACCCCTCCCACCCATTTCGACCTTGATAACATCCCCCAAAGCTAGCTGTTAGCCCCACCCCCCATAATAGTATCAGCAGCTAGGACTAAAGTGTTGCACGCCTCTGCTCTACAATGAGCCGGCCAAATAAAGACGTTCTAGAAGAAGCATCGGAGGAGGTGCGGGAGAAATTGAGAAACGGAAAGCTAAGTCGAAATTGGAATTCGTCCCCCGCAGCCAACAGATTTGTGAACCATTTCGTGACCAACCAATTCCCCCTCCCATTACCGATTTTCACCGCACTGAATCTAGAAAACCCAACCAATTTGAGATATGAAATTGTGAGCGTCTTAGATCTAGAAGTTCTAAATCTCGATGAATGTCCCAGCAGCCTAATTCGTCTGCTATACCCAGAGGTCGTCTTCATCCCATTCCCCCTCCCCCTCCCTATGGCCTATAGAAGGTTTTTTAGGCTGCCCGTACTATTTTTTTTGGCCTGCCCGGGGTTTCGTCTAATATGCATCTAATCTGGCCTGAAATGCGTCTAGCGTCTTAGACGCTGCGTCTAGACGCAACCGTCTAAGACGCTAGACGCGTCTTCCGCAACATAGCCTGCAGGTAAGGAGTCTGGATAGAGCTTCGTATGTCGATCTATTTCCAGCAGCCTGGTCTATTTCCAGCAGCCTGGTCAATTTCCAGCATCCTGGTCTATTTCCAGCAGCCTGGTCTATTTCCAGCAGCCTGGTCTATTTCCAGCAGCCTGGTCTGTTTCCAGCAGCCTGGTCTATTTCCAGCAGCCTGGTCTATTTCCAGCAGCCTGGTCTATTTCCAGCAGCCTGGTCTGTTTCCAGCAGCCTGGTCTATTTCCAGCAGCCTGGTCTATTTCCAGCAGCCTGGTCTATTTCCAGCAGCCTGGTCTATTTCCAGCAGCCTGGTCTATTTCCAGCAGCCTGGTCTATTTCCAGCAGCCCGGTCTATTTCCAGCAGCCCGGTCTATTTCCAGCAGCCCGGTCTATTTCCAGCAGCCTGGTCTATTTCCAGCAGCCTGGTCTATTTCCAGCAGCCTGGTCTATTTCCCATCAGGCCTATTTCCTTGCTGGGCCCGCCATCACTGGAGGGGCCGTGACTGTGAATGGGTGCTGGTGCAGCGGCCTGCAGTGCAGTTAGGAAATGCGGATACCTAGCCTCTATCCTAGTTTGTGGAGGGCGATGCGTCCAGTGCCAGCTACTTCCTTGCTGGGGCGGCCATCACTGGAGGGACCGCCGCGGTGCATGGGGGCGGATAGCATTTGGGGTTCAAGGTTAAGGGTTTAGGGGAGGTGCATGGTGCATCCAGTGCCAGCTACTTCCTTGCTGGGGCGGCCATCACTGGAGGGACCGTCACTGTGAATGGGTGCTGGTGCAGCAGCCTGCAGGTAAGGATGGTGATGAGATGAAATTTGAGCCGTATATAAAGTGCTATATAACACCGCTACTAACACCGCTACTAACACCGCTACTAACACCGCTATATAAAGTGTTAGTAGAGGTGAAAGCGCCTGCCCCTCTTCATCAGCAGCACCACCACTTCTTTTTCCATTCCTCCCCCCCTCTGCTTCTTCACCTTCCTCTTCTCTCCGCTTCGTCAACTTCACTCCCCCTTCCTCCACCTCCTCTTCTGTACTCGTTACAGGGTGATGTGCACTTCGCGTCAGTGCTCGAGCAGATGGGAGCTACAGTGACATGGGCGGAGGAGAGTGTGACTGTAACGGGGCCTCCCCCGGCAGCCAATGGGAGCATCCGGCGGCTCAAGGGCATCGACGTGAACATGAACAAGATGCCAGATGTCGCCATGACATTGGCTGTCGTGGCTCTCTTTGCTGAAGGCCCCACTGCCATCCGTGATGGTGAGAGAGCATCCCACTTTCATTTTAGTCACAGTGCACATAAGCAAGGTATGGCCTTCAAAACGTTGTAAGGCTTTTTGAGGCTCCTCATGTGTGACATGCGGTTTTGAAGGCATTGGCTGTTGTTGCTCTCTTTGCCGAAGGGCCACTGTGAGTGGGTCTCGTTTTAGTCACATCGCACATGAGCAAGGTATGGCCTTCAAAACGTTGTAAGGCTTTTTGAGGCTCCTCAGGTGTGACATGCGGTTTTGAAGGCATTGGCTGTTGTTGCTCTCTTTGCCGAAGGGCCACTGTGAGTGGGTCTCTTTTTAGTCTCGGCACACATAAGCAAGGTATGGCCTCCAAAACGTCGTAAGGCTTTTTTAGGCTCCTCAGGTGTGGCATGCGGTTTTGATGACACTGGCTGTCGCGGCTCTTTTCGCGGAAGGCCCCATTGCCATCCGTGATAGTAGCTGGTCTCATCTCATTTTAGTCACATCGCACATAAGAACGTTGCAGGAAAACCAGAGCCTCCTTAACCGCCCTTCCCTCCCTCTTCCCTGTCCCTGCTATTTCATCTCCTCCTTTTGTATCTCTGCAGTGGGAACGTGGCGTGTGAAGGAGACGGAGCGGATGATTGCCATCTGCACTGAACTGACCAAGGTGAGTGGTTCAGATGCCTTGTGCCTCAGATGCTTGTGCATGTCACCCCATGTGTGTCCCCACGTGGCGTGTGTCACTTCACATGGGTCACCCCACATGGCGTGTGAAGGAGACGGAGCGGATGATCGCCATGTGCACCGAACTGACCAAGGTGAGTGGTTCAGATGTTTGTGCATGTCACCTCACGTGTGTCACTTCACATGGGTCACCCCACATGGTGTGTGAAGGAGACAGAGCAAATGATTGCCATGTGCACCGAACTGACCAAGGTGAGTAGCTCTGCTGCTTGTGCGCCTGATGCTTGTGCCTCTGATGCTTGTGCCTCTGATGCTTGTGCCTCTGATGCTTGTAACTCTGCTGCTTGTAACTCTGCTGCTTGTAACTCTGCTGCTTGTAACTCTGCTGCTTGTAACTCTGCTGCTTGTAACTCTGCTGCTTGTAACTCTGCTGCTTGTAACTCTGCTGCTTGTAACTCTGCTGCTTGTAACTCTGCTGCTTGTAACTCTGCTGCTTGTAACTCTGCTGCTTGTAACTCTGCTGCTTGTAACTCTGCTGCTTGTAACTCTGCTGCTTGTAACTCTGCTGCTTGTAACTCTGCTGCTTGTAACTCTGCTGCTTGTAACTCTGCTGCTTGTAACTCTGCTGCTTGTAACTCTGATGCTTGTAACTCTGCTGCTTGTAACTCTGCTGCTTGTAACTCTGCTGCTTGTAACTCTGCTGCTTGTAACTCTGCTGCTTGTAACTCTGCTGCTTGTAACTCTGCTGCTTGTAACTCTGCTGCTTGTAACTCTGATGCATGTGAACCTCATTCACATGCATCTGATGCGCATCATCACACCCCCGGAGCGTGTGCTCCCAGCGGAGATCGACACTTATGACGACCACCGCATGGCCATGTCCTTCGCCCCTCCCTTCCGTGCAGGCTGGACGCTAATGCGGAGGGTCCGGACTATCGCAACCCTTGATGGTGCCTTGAAGGCTGTGCTCACCAATCTCCCAGCAGAGATCGACACGTATGACGACCACCGCATGGCCAGTCCTTTGTCCCTCCCTTCCGTGCAGGCTGGCTGACGTGGCAGGTCCGGACTACTACTGCCTAACCTGAGCTGGTGCCCTGAAGGCTCAACCCAACAGCACTTCCTCCCTGCCTCCGTCCTCCTCCCCCCACCCCCCGCCCTATTGCGCCCTCCCTCAGCTGGGAGCACATGTGGAGGAGGCTCCGAACTACTGCGTTATCACACTGCTGGAGCGTGTGCTCCCTGCGGAGAGATGGACACGTATGACGACGACCACCGCATGGCGACCATCACATGGCCATTCCTTTGTCCCTCCCTTCCATGCAGGCTGGACGCTGATGTGCCCGGTCCGGACTACTGCAAAATCTGAGCACCGGTGAACAGAAGGCTGAACGCAACAGCACTTCCTCCCTGTCTCCCTCTCCTCACACCCCCACCCCCACCCCCCCGCCTTCTGCCCTATCGCACCCTCCCTCACCTGGGAGCACATGTGGAGGAGGGACCGGACTTCTGCATCATCACACCCTCGGAGCGTGTGCTCCCAGCGGAGTCCGACACGTATGACGACCACCCTCGCTGCATGCTTTTGAATTGACTTCAGTTTACTCCCTTTCCTCCCTTTTCCCGCAGCTGGGAGCACATGTGGAGGAGGGTCCGGACTACTGCATCATCACACCCCCGGAGCGTGTGCTCCCCGCGGAGATCGACACATATGACGACCACCGCATGGCCATGTCCTTCGCCCTTGCTGCCTGCTCCGGAACTCCCGTGGTGATCCGGGACCCTGGATGCACGCGCAAGACCTTCCCCGATTATTTCGACGTGCTCAAGAGCGTTTCCCGCTGAAAGGAGTTGTATGGATGAAATCCTCATTTTCCCTGTATGGACTCTGTCATGGATTATGTGCACTGAAGCATGTCGATTAGGCCAAGCAAATTCAACTCAGTGCAGAATGTTCCAACAATATGAATGTTCCAAAAATGTAACTTAGGCCATTACGACTTCAAATGCTTCTGGAATTTTTAACTGGTGAGATGTAGCAGAATGTTCCAACAATATGATGGTATCTGGTTTCGATTGTGGTTCTGACGGGGACTTGTTCTGTCCTTGGCGGTGTGAAGGACGGTTCTTGGATGAAACGCATCCGACGGCTGTGACGCAGGCAGATGGTCAGTTTCCAAACATCTTGGCCCATACTGGGGGAGTACTAGCCAGTAAACGCTCCGAGCAAGCCCATCAACTCTCCCTGTACTCGGCCACGCCAGTGGCGTGGTGACGCCAGTGTGACCTCAACTGGCATCTCTAGTGTGTTGTGTGGCACTCAGTACAAGAACCGTGGTTAATCGTGCAAAAGGCATCTGAAACGCATTGAACAAACGGAAACCTCACCCTTTTGCAAGTTCACCTATTGGCGTCTCTCTCTCTGGCCTTCTCGAAGGCATTTCACTGGATTCTCATTCCTTAGGCTGTACGCTTACCGCAGCAGACAGATCTGTCATTCCATCATACGTAGAGAAGAAGCCTTTTCCGTAGCAAGTGAAAGATTCGGTCTTCTAACCTTCGCAAATTAGGTTCTGACTATTCGAGACTCGTCGCTAGCTTCTCACGTTGTTCGTGCGCTACCCGAGCGTCGTTCGAGTCATTGCAGCAGATTCTGAAGGCAACGCTGTGGCCTAAGGTTACGGCACCATGCTCTTCCTGCTCTCATGGCCGCTCCTGTAAGTTCGTCACCTTACGTTGATCGTAGCAGCACGTTGAAGCCGGTCAGATTTTCTTCTTCTTCTTCTTCGCCTCCTTCCCGAGCTTTCTAACTCGTCGCGTGGATCTATCGCACCTGTTTCCCGTCTTCCCTCTGTCCTGCTAAAATCGTACTCTGGTTAATTTCTCTCGTCATCCCCGGATCTTTGCTTGTGTATATGTATATAGCATGCAAATGTTTCTAGTATCCTGCACACTAACGCATACGCTAAATATTCCTCCCAAGTGCAGGTCTCTGCTGGGGTACCTTTATCCAGCATACGCAACGTACAAGACCGTAGAGCGACGCTCTTCAGAGCCAGATGATTTCCGCTTCTGGTGCAAGTACTGGTGAGTTTTTGTTATCTCTTTTCGTTTATGTGTCCAACTGTAACGAATGTTTCGGTAACTGCAAGTGTGAATGGACTATGTCCGATGAGCATGGGTGTATCCTGATCATAACGATATACGCGTTATAACCTCACCTATTTTCGATTATATCTTCAGGGTGATTATGGCGGCATTCCACGTCTTGGAGACCTGCCTTTTTTTCGGCCTTATCACCTGGTACGTTCAAATTAATCAACGACAAGTGATTCTTGTGCGTCCAGTCTGAAGCCGGTGCTATGCCCGTCCGAATATTCGCGCTTCTAGTGATTTCTGCTTTTCGTAGCTATCTGCATGAATCTTTCTTTTTACACGAGTGACATCTTGAAACTGTCTCAGCAATTGAATCCTTCATTTCTGTGTAAGTCGATTTTCCTTTCTCCAGGCTTCCCTTCTATGACGTCTTCAAGGTCCTTTTCTGCGTATACCTCTGGCATCCGCGAACTCAGGTACGGATGCTTCTTCCTTTTACGCTCACTCAGTTGCGTCTGCTTTTGAGTCGACTCAAAAACAGTACGGATGCTTCTTCCTTTCTCGCTCACTCAGTTGCACCCGTGCCATAGCGTGTCCGCGCTGCGTGCTGCGCTGTTCTTCACGGTTTGTCCGCGCTGCCATGATGTGTACGTTCATCGCGTCCTACCACTGTCCCTTTAATTTGTCACGTTATTGCGATCATGCGGATTTTTCCCATCCACGTAGCCCTCCCTCCTCCTGTGTTCTTGGACCCTCCCAATCTTCAGGGCACACTGCTGATCTACCATCGTGCCATCGTGCCTGCCTTGTCGCGCCACGAGCAAGAGATTGACCGCAGGATCGCGGAGGTGCAGACACGTGGCATGGATTTGGCCGTTGAGTACTCTCGCATCCTCGCATCTAAGATCATGTCTCTCGCCAAGGCGGGCGCTGAGGCCGCCCCTAAAGTCTACGAACGTTACCAGGTGAGCTAAACGTTAGCAAGTGAGGGAAACGTTCCCAGGTGAGCGAACTTTACCAGGTGAACAAACGTTACCTTGGGTGAGCGAACGTTACGAGCTGAAAGGAAGTTTTCAAGTGATTAAAATGTGAACACTTCAGCGGTACGTTGCCAATTGAGCTTCACATCGCCTGGTGAGGGCGTGGTAAAAGTGTCAATTGATGACTGGATATTGATCGGCTACCGCACTGTAATCCCGCTTACTGCGTCTTCAATCACACAACCTACTCCAATCCTGTCAAAATACAATATTGAAAGCGATCTATGAGGTCGTCCCCTGTACCACGCCCTGAGGGATGGTATGAGTGTGCACGTGTACAGCAGGGTATGGTCGATGTTCCACGCGTGCATGTGAAAGGATGCTGAGTATGTTTTTTAAGAAATCTCTCAAAACATAAAGCAGGGTTTGGTCATTGTTCAACGCGTGCATGTTAAAAGCTGGTGAGTACTGGTATCTCACGTGAACGTGCTCAGCCGACGACCAGCCGTTCCTCCTTCCCTGCCCCTCACTGCCTCCCATCACCCATAGCATGGTGCATCGGCAATTCTTTGTTGCCTTCTCCTTTTATGACTTCCCTGCGGTAATATTTTCCTTGTTAGGTTTTGGGTGGCAACTGCTTGAGCTCGCGAAGCTGATTTCCATGTTCTCAACCTGGTTTTTCTATTTCATTACTCACCACGCTACAGCAACAAGCTGCTTCTCACTTTGACGCTTCTACCCATTCCTTTTTTTTTCATTATTCCCTTTGTTTGTCTTTCCCTTCGGTTTCTTGCTTTCTCTCCTAACTCCCCTGTACTCATCACTCGCTTTATGCCACTCCCAGCGAAGGAACTACTCAGCAGGAATCCACACCCCAGCCAGCTACATCCACATTGTTCACGGATTACATTTCTTTTTTTATTGCATGAAATGTTTTTTTTTTCAGCTTGATATTTCACAGCATTGAACCTCTCATTGACGGGCACAGCCACGGAATCTGTGGCTGGAAAGTGGTGTTGCCTGTATGTCAATTTTTTCCTCCTTTCCATCTCTCATCCCCCCGCAGCTACATGCTGCCACTCAGCCTGCTGCTTCCACAGCATCAACCTCCCCGTATTCCTCTGGGAAGCTGGGAGATAAGATCATGGCAGAAGACATTCACTGGACTAATGGCTGACAAGTGTCGTTGCCTGAGTGTCTTGTTTCCCATTCTTTCCGTCCCATCCCTCATCCCCTGCAGTAACACACTGCCGCCCAGCCTGCTGCATCCACTGCATTGGCCTCCTCTTATTCCTCTGGGGAGCTGGGACATAAGATCTCAGGATTGGGGGACATTTACTGATTGAAAAGTATTGTTGCCTGAATGTTTTGTTGCCTGAATGTTATGTTTCCCTTTCTTTCCATTCCGTCCCTCTACCCCCCGCAGCAGCATGCTGCAGCTCAGCCTGCTGCTTCCACAGCATCCACCTCCTCGTATTCCTCTGGGGAGCTGGGAGATAAGATCACCGGATTGGGGGACCCAGTTGACTACGACATGGGCCTTCGGGCTCGCAAGCCAACTTCTGGTACTGGGATGGATTAACTGAAAGTAATAATGAGAATAGTTGGCAGTGCAGCAATTCTGGAAGGCTGTGCATGGCTCGTATGCACCGCCACCCGCATTGATAGGGCATCTCTTTCATTAATATCCATCAACTTTGCTGAAGTTGGATCCTCCATTCTTGCATGGAGTGCTAGACGGTGCAAGGTACCCAATTTGTACAGCCAGAAATGGTGCAGGAAGCGGTGTTCATGATTAGGCTGTTATCAACCAGTTTGCAGAAATGTTTGGGTTTCCTGTGGTAACCAGCTCGTAACCTGTCCTACAGCAAACCTCCTTTATTCTGAGCGGAGTCCCAGTTATCCCTGTCTCCCAATTATCGAAAAACTCGAGACCAGTTTTATGCGGTAACCAGCTTCTTCAATCAGACTATCTCCAACCTCTGGGCAAAATAGCGAATGTCCCGACGAAAATTATCAGCTGATACGCGAACTCCAGCGAACGAGAAGTCCTTTCGTCAGCAAAACCTTGATGTTGGATCTGCTGGGGTTTCTTGCTGAGCTTATCCATCTGCTATCCACTGTTAATTCGGTCGATAGCACCTTTTCTGCCTCTTCAGCAGTTACTTGGTGGCGGGATCTGGTGGGGAGCAGCCATAGAAGGGAGACATAGCGGAGCGGAGTGTTACGCAGTTGCTGACATTTGGCGCTTTTCTGATCCTAATTCGCACGCCACTGCCATGTAGTGAGTAATTTCTTCTCTGTTCGCTTTGAACATTTTCGCACGCATGCATTCACCAGATTTTGACAAATACGATAGTACTGGTTGATGGCAAATCGCTTTTATCTGTTGGTCAGGATGAAACTTTCTAATCTGTTGGTTCTCATGGGGGCCTTGTTGGCGTTTGATTGAAGGAAATCGGTGTTGTCTCTTGCTTTCTATGTTCTTGTTGCTGAGTCGGTCCGGCGGCTCACACTATGGAAACGATTATAAGGGAGGCGACTACAGGGGAAGACTTTTGAGTCTCCCCGAATGTTGTTGCAGCTTGATTCATTTGGAACAATTGTTACCTCTTGCTTTGTGTGAATTCGCAGTCGCTCCGGCAGCTCACGCTATGGAAGCGACTACAGAAGCGACTACAGGGGAGATTACAGAGGAGGGGACTACAGGGGCGGCGGAGGCGGGTACCAGACTTCCGCTCGGCTTTACGTCGGTCGTCTCTCCACGCGGACTCGCACTCGAGATCTGGAGTCTCTTTTCGGGAAATACGGACGGTAAGCTTTGTTTTGTTTTAATTTGATTCAATGTATTCCAGTCGAGACAAACGAGCCCGGAGACGCACCATGTATGGGTATTGGAGGGACGTGCTCTCATAAGGTCGTCGGTCCATATGATCTTTGATCAGAAAAAGTCGTTGAACGACCTTATGATCTTGGACCGAGGCCGCTTTATCGGATCAACCTCCCTTGTGCTTCCCTTCTTTTCATGTTAAGGTCGTTGTCTTCCCTCTCTCATATCCGCCAAACCGCTACCCTCATGCCCCCCGTTAATCGCTCGTCCGGGTGCGTTTATCGGGTTTTCGGCCGGCGGTCGGGTCGGGTCGGGTCTGTAGCATCCGGTGAAATGCGCATCGGGTGAGAAGCAAATCGGATGAAACGCGAATTGGGTGAATTTTACGCCGGTTGAAACGCGCGTGCGCTGCTTCATGGCGCAGTCTTGGTGATGGCGTTTTCCTCACTCGCTTTCCCTGGCTGCTTCGCGTTCTCGGTGGTTGCGATCGGTTTCCGCTGTTTCGCGTTGCAACGACGGTTCCGCTCTTGCTGACATGGCCTGCCACGATTCGCTGCGATGATGATCTGGACGAAAATCGCGGAGATGCCTTTCGCTTGCCACGCGCGGGCTGATCGCCGTCGTTTGCGCTTGGCGGGCGGTTTCGCGCGTTCTCGCGGGCGTCCCGGCTCTTTACGATCTTGCGCCTTTGCGGGGACGCGTAGCGCTTATCGAGTCGATGCGTGTTAACGGGGATGTCGCTTATCGTGTTGCGCGTGCGTGTTGGTTCGGACGGTTTTCCAACGCAGCTTCGTGGAACTTGTTCGACTCTTCAGTGCGGTATGGTGTGGTTTGATGTGGTTTCGTGCGTTCGTTATGCTTTGGTTTAGTATGGCGAGTTTGCTGGTGGGTGTGTGTGTTTGGACTAAACAGGTTTACTCCCCCCCTCAGCAGATGAAGCAGCTTCAACTCGTTAAGACTAGCGCTTTCTGTTGAACTTGATTTTGTTGCCTTCTATCGCTTCTCGCTTGCTTTCCCGCCCTTGGTAAAGCCTCTCTCGCACCCCCTCTTTCCCCTCCCCCTCTCCCCTCCCGCTCGTTTGTTTCGTGCGTGCTCGCTTTCTTCCTTGTCTCTCCCGCCGTCTCTCTGGCTTGCAGGATTCGTGACGTGGACATGAAGCGAGACTATGCGTTTATTGTGGGTATAAAACCTGGATACGGTGCAGCGTTTCGATATTTGTGATGTTTAGAGCATTCTCGAAATGCTCTTCCTTCGCTGTTTTGTTTCTTAGTCTTCCTACACTAATTTTGTTAGGAACCTTCGGGCCATCCGCCTCTGTTCACCTCTACCCCCTCCTCTGCGCAATTCTACCAACGCTCCCCCCCTCACGTTGGCTCCCCTTTTTCTCTTGCATGCTTTCTGTTTCTCCCCTCCCTTTCTCCCCTCCCTTTCTCCCCACCCTTTCTCCCCTCCCTTTCTCCCCACCCTTTCTCCCCTCCCTCTCTCCCCACAACTTTCCCCGCTTAATCTGACTGTTTCGAGCCGTCGATTTCCTGAGGCGTCAAAGCATGCTGTCCGTGGCTATTATCGCTTTTCTATGTCAATTGTTGCATTATATTGATTTGATTACTTTTAAATATCATCTTCCCACTTGATATTCCTTGTTTTGGTGGTTCTTTTCCGTACAGGAATATAGTGATTCGAGGGATGCGGAAGACGCAGCTCATTATCTGAACGGCAAGGAGGTGGACGGCAGTCACATCATTGTGGAGTTCACTCGCCGGGTACGTTGCTCTCCTGCCTGTAGCTGCTATGTAGGGGTGTGTGCTACGCGCCGCTAGGATTATGTCTGAACGGCGAGGTGGATGGCAGCCACATCATCGTTTTTGAGAATTCTCAAAAGCGGCGAGGTGGACGGCAGCCACATCATCGTGGAATTCACCCGCAGGGTATGCCCATATTCCATAATATTCGACGTAGGGGTAGGGTTAAAAAGTGAGAGTTCAGCCAGCTCAGAAGGTACCTCGTTTTTACGGCAAGGAGGTGGACGGCAGCCACATCATCGCGGAGTTCACTCGCAGGGTACGTTGGGCTGGGTGTCTTGCCTGTAGCTACCATCTAGGGTTTTCACGCACCTTTATGATCGTTTTGCTCAACGGCAATGAGGTGGACGGCAGCCACATGCTCGCAGGGTTTGTTGCTCTCCTGTCTGTCGATGCCACTCATGCGCAGAGCCGGTCAGAACCAGTCGTGCTTCATTTCAATCAGTAGATGGTTGTTGGTCTGATTTGTCTGGTCCGGGCCGGGCCCCCTGCCTCTCCCCCTTCCTCGTCCCCCCCTTCCTCTTCCGCCCGTCCTACCATCAGGGGCCGCGCGGGCAGGGCTTCGGGGGGCCTCCGGGTCCGCGCATGGGGGGAATGGGCATCACGCAGGGGCGCTGCTACAACTGCGGCAAGGACGGCCACTGGGCTCGCGACTGCCGCAATGGCGACTGGGGCGGCAAGTGCTACCGGTGTGGCGAGCGCGGGCACATCGAGAGGGACTGCCGGAACAGCCCCGCCCAGAGGTGAGATTTCTGAGGTGTTTTTCAAAGCATTATCTCGGAGAAGAATGGAGAGGTGCTAGGTAGAGTAGGGCAAGGATGGCCACTGAACGCGCTACTTCCTGCCGTAACGGCGACTGGGGCGGCAAGTGCTACTGGTGCTGCGAGCACGGGTACATCGGGAGGGACCGCAGGAATAACCCCGCCCAGAGGTACGTTTACATGCCTGAAGGTGTGTTGGGTTCTCAGCTGATGCGAGTGATTTTTTAGAATTCTCAAAAATCACTCACAAGGACTACCAGTGCTGCAAGCACGGGTACATCGGGAGGGGCCGCAGTAACAGCCCCGCCCAGGCGTACGTTTACATGCCTTAGGGTGTGTTGGGCTCTCAGCTGATAGAGCTGTGAGTGACTGCAGCAATGGCAAGTTAGCGCCTGGGTGGCAATTTGTTACCAGTGCTGTGAGTGCGAACATTTTGAGAGGGACTGCAGGAACATCTGGGAAGTGAGTTTGATTTTCCCTGCCTTACTGGTGCTTCCTCTCGGTTTTTCTATTCACTGGCTCTCCCGGAATATGTTCTATTGAACCTGGGGCAGGTATTGGTTTCTTAGAGTTTTCAAAACACTCAATGGCGCTCTCTCTGATTGCTTTCTGTTGTGTGAACCTGGTGCAGGTATCGGTCTCGCAGCCGCAGCCGTTCGCGCAGGTATCGCGGTTTCCATTCATCGCCCATTCTAGGATTTCTCTTTTTGTCCTTATTTTTCTGTACCTGCTTCACCTGAATCACCTTAGAGTGCTTACAGCTTTCTCATAGGTGCGTCGTCCCTTGCGCGCTCTGATGTTTTCTTGTGCTCTCGTCCCTCCTGTAAACATGCCTCTCTTTTTTTGCCTCTCTTGCTCTCTACATTTTTTTCCCCTGCTCCTCCAACCAGCCCTCGCCGCGGGCGTGACCGCCGCAGTCGCAGCCGCAGCAACAGCAAGGAACGGGACGAGCGCAGCAAGAGTCGCAGCAGGAGCCGCAGCCGCAGCCGCAGCAACGACCGCGAAAAGGATCGCAGCAGGAGCAGGAGCAGGAGCAACGAGCGCGAGAAGGATCGGGAGAATGGAAAGAAGGCTGGAAGCCGCAGCCCTTCGCGCAGCCGCAGCCGCAGCAGGAGCGCAAGCAAGGAGAGGAGGAACAGCCGGAGCCCTAGTGCTGAGAAGAAGGAAGAGAAGAGTCCAAGGCGGAGCAGGAGTCCAAGTAAGGAGAGGAGCAAGAGCAGGAGTAAGAGCCCTGTCAGGAGGAGTGCTAGCCCTGCCAGGAGGAGTGCTAGCCCTGCCAGGAGGAGTCCTAGCCCTCGTGATGGTGGTGATGGTAGTTCGCCGAAGAGGTCTCCTATGCAGGATGCAGATGGGGAAAGGAGCCCTGAGAGGAAGGGGGATGATGCAGGAAAGGATGGGGATGAGTAGATGTGGATATGCACTGGGTGATTTCGTTCACTGGGATGGTGCCAGTTCGATTTTATACTCTGGGAACATCATGCTTGGGAACATTATGCTTGGGAATCTACGTGCTGTTGCAACTACATTGTTTAGCTGGTTGATTTTTTGTAACCAAGAGCTGAACTGTTTCTGATCGAGTTTGTGGACTGCAGCCACCTTCCCGAATCGCGGCGGCCCGCCGTGCGACGAGCGCGAGGCTTGGAAGGTGTTGTGGTTGGTTTTCAGCCGTCACTGTGGTACGGTCAAGGAGCTGCGGAGATTGCAGATTTCAATCTGCGACGATAAGTGAAAACGTTATTTCGCATAATCAAAGTGAGCTCGCCCAAGTTTCGCACGATATCGAGCAACCGCATCAGGGTAATCGCTGTAACCTGGTTTCGCTCCCACTTGGTGTCAGTGTGACACTGCTACAGCTTGTCAGACGAGCTCACCACACAATTCCCGCCATTTGCCGAAACTGGCTTGACGGCTTCTGGTTCTTGATTTTGCGTCTGTCATTGGATCCGAACCAGCAGTCAGGGTCCGAGCCGAGACATACGAAGCCTGGTGGTAGGGAAAACAGAACGCACACTTCGGCTAGCTTCGAGTACCCCTCAGACCAGTTGGGCCGTGGAACATCACAGCGCAACGCGGTCTGGGCGCGGCTCCGTGCGGGCCATGTGTGCCTCCCCGCGTCCTCTAAAGTACCCGACTCAACCAGAAGAGACCAATGCGAAACCCGCCCAAACCCTTTTTCTCCCCTTTTTCCGTTTCCTCCCTCACCTTTACCTCCGCCATCACTTCCTCTCCTTCCCAGTTTCATCATTTTAGGGATCACAATGGCTTCATAGCTTTGAAGCGGTTCAGAAAGATCGCAAGGAAAAACATGTTTTTGTGCCAAACCCAAACCAAGATCCATCCACGTGCCCATCGGCTGCTGACTTTCCAGTGTTTTGTCAGAAATGGCAGGATGACCGACCAAGCCAGGGACGAATCGCGCTGGTCTTTTCAGAAATCCTGCTGTGCTTTTTGCAGAGTCTTTTGTCATCCACTGTCAGTTCCGGCTATAGCTGATCTGCTCGTTCGCGTGTGTCTGCGTAATCTCGGCACGATTGCAGGGGATACATCAGTAAGGTTCTCTCTGGTGGGGTAATCTGTTTGTCCTCCTCGTGCTCCGCCAGTCGTCGTTTCGTTGCGTCAAATCATCCAGGCATGGAAGAATTTGAATCGTGCTCTGTCGCTAGTAGCTAGTCAAGGGTGCTTCCAAGCATCAGCATCTATAGACGGATATAGCCTTCGCTCGCACACGAGCTGCAATGTCGAAAATGTATTGAGGCGCCTCAAAACTCTCAACCTCTAAAGACGGATATAGTCTTCGCTCGCGCACGAGCTGCGTGCCTAATGCCCTGAACACGACGTGGTTGCAGCTGTCGACGTTGGGGTTGTCCACCTTGCCAATTTAGTCTTCACTCTAGACTTGCTCGGGGAAATCTGTAAGACGATTGCCTCGATTCATTCGTAGATGCTCTGAGAGAGGCTAAACCGTGTGGTACATTCCACGTTCCGTTCAGAGCAGAGCACATATTTCTTTTGAGTTCGATATACTTAGTAATTGCGAGAAATCAAGAAAGTTTCCAATGAGGGGTTTGGTGCGCAGCGGTCTGTGGAGCACCGCCTTTGTCATCTCCTTCACCTCCGTCCTCTCGCTATTATCAAATTCGCTCCAAAGTAGCGAGACCGGTTACGAAATCCCGGACACCGCCACGCTCGACGTCACTCCGATAGTGAGTTCTTCGTTACAAGATGTGAGACTTCAGGTGCGACCGGCGGGCTTGCAACGCAGTAGCGTGTCAGCTTCAAGCGGGGATGCTTTTCTGAGATCGGATCTGCATTCAGCAAGCAATGTACGGTCGCAAGCGGAGTTTCCAAAGCAGTTTAATTCTGAGAACTCTGGCAACTCTCAGGATCCGAAGCCGCGAATTACTGGGAAATCTGAAGATCCGCGGCCTTTGATTTCTGGGAATGCGCAAGATCCAACGCAGAGGCTGCTTCATGGTATTGATTTGGTCGAGATGGAAGCGGAGGAAGATGAGACAACCATAACGAGGGAATCCATGGAAGAGGGAACCAGGAAAGAGGTAGCATCTGACCGGAGGTCCCTATCATCAACTTCGTCTTTATCCGGAAACGCGAATTTCGGGGAGGGGAACGTGAATGTTCTACAATCGAATGTTCCAGTAGCGGAGAATCTGGTGTCCGACAGAAGAATATGCGGAGAGGGACCGTTGAAGGTTTTTGTGTACGATCTGCATCAGAAGTTCAATTTCGGACTGTTTCGACATAAGGAGCTCGAGAGCCTGCCTTTTAGCGCGGATGAAGTTCCGGAGCTGCGATATCAGAGGAAGGCGGATGGAGGGGTGTCCGGACGAGGCTTCGAACACAGCGGCGAATTCTTCATCGTTTACAACCTACTGGTGAGAATGCATCGCGGATTTGTTCCCCCGCCCTTTCCCCCCTTTGCCCCTCTCCCCCCACACCTTCTCCCCTTCTCCCCGGACGGGGCTTCGAACACAGCGGTGAATTCTTCATTGTTTATAACCTACTGGTGAGTATACATTGCGTTAAAAACTCAAAAGTCGTCCTCAATTGCGATATCAGAGGAGGCGAACGGTGGGGTGTCCGGACGAGGCTTCGAACATAGTGGCGAATTCTTCATCGTTTATAACCTACTGGTGAGAATACATTGCCGCATTCTTCCGCCCTCCCCTTCCGCCTTCTCCCCCTCACCCCCTCACCCCCTCCACCATTTCCCCTGGCTTTGAACACAGCGGCGAGTTTTTCATCGTTTACAACCTACTGGTGAGAATACACTGTGGATTGGTTCCCTCCTCTTTCCCCCTCCCCTCACACCTCCCCCCCTCCATCCACCCGCCCCGACACAGCGTGGAAATCTGCATTGTCTAAATCATGTTGCCTCCTTTCGACCTCGGCCCCCCTCTTCACCCCTCTGCTTCCTCGTGTATCCTCCTGCGCAGCCCAACAATCACAGCAAAAGTTAACCTTATAAGAGTGACGGATCCCGCTGCAGCGGATGATTTCCTTCCCCCTGCCAACCCCACATGTGCTTTCCCTGTGCTTCCCCGTGCCTCCGCCTGTTCAGGCGAACAACCACAGCGACAGCAGCAGGAGCAACGGCGACATTATAAGAGTAACGGATCCCGCTGCAGCGGATGTGTTCTTCGTGCCCTTCCTGGCGTCACTCAGCTTCAACATCTTCACCACCAATGGCATGCGAGGCGCGCTCGCAGAAAAGGACAAGATTCTCCAGGTGAGGTTAGGCTGATCACGATTCTCCATGTGATGTGTTGTGCTGGTCTCGGTATTCCCTCTGCTTCAACATCTGCACCACCAATGGCATGCGAGGCGCGCTCGCAGGAAAGGCCAAGATTCTGCAGGTGCGTTGGGGAAGGTTCGGTAGGTGTGCTGGGGTGGACTTGATTTGTCGTCTGCTGGACTCCAATCGCTCTTCTTCGACATCTTCACCCCCATGTCTTCACCACCATGTCTTCACCGCCATGTCTTCACCGCCATGTCTTCACCACCATGTCTTCACCGCCATGTCTTCACCACCATGTCTTCACCGCCATGTCTTCACCACCATGTCTTCACCGCCATGTCTTCACCGCCATGTCTTCACCGCCATGTCTTCACCGCCATGTCTTCACCGCCATGTCTTCACCGCCATGTCTTCACCGCCATGTCTTCACCGCCATGTCTTCACCGCCATGTCTTCACCGCCATGTCTTCACCGCCATGTCTTCACCGCCATGTCTTCACCGCCATGTCTTCACCGCCATGTCTTCACCGCCATGTCTTCACCGCCATGTCTTCACCGCCATGTCTTCACCGCCATGTCTTCACCACCATGTCTTCACCACCATGTCTTCACCACCATGTCTTCACCACCATGTCTTCACCACCATGTCTTCACCACCATGTCTTCACCACCATGTCTTCACCACCATGTCTTCACCACCATGTCTTCACCACCATGTCTTCACCACCATGTCTTCACCACCATGTCTTCACCACCATGTCTTCACCACCATGTCTTCACCACCATGTCTTCACCACCATGTCTTCACCACCATGTCTTCACCACCATGTCTTCACCACCATGTCTTCACCACCATGTCTTCACCACCATGTCTTCACCGCCATGTCTTCACCGCCATGTCTTCACCGCCATGTCTTCACCACCATGTCTTCACCACCATGTCTTCACCACCATGTCTTCACCACCATGTCTTCACCGCCATGTCTTCACCGCCATGTCTTCACCGCCATGTCTTCACCGCCATGTCTTCACCGCCATGTCTTCACCACCATGTCTTCACCGCCATGTCTTCACCACCATGTCTTCACCACCATGTCTTCACCACCATGTCTTCACCGCCATGTCTTCACCGCCATGTCTTCACCGCCATGTCTTCACCACCATGTCTTCACCGCCATGTCTTCACCGCCATGTCTTCACCGCCATGTCTTCACCGCCATGTCTTCACCGCCATGTCTTCACCGCCATGTCTTCACCGCCATGTCTTCACCACCATGTCTTCACCACCATGTCTTCACCACCATGTCTTCACCACCATGTCTTCACCACCATGTCTTCACCACCATGTCTTCACCACCATGTCTTCACCACCATGTCTTCACCACCATGTCTTCACCACCATGTCTTCACCACCATGTCTTCACCACCATGTCTTCACCACCATGTCTTCACCACCATGTCTTCACCACCATGTCTTCACCGCCATGTCTTCACCACCATGTCTTCACCACCATGTCTTCACCACCATGTCTTCACCACCATGTCTTCACCGCCATGTCTTCACCACCATGTCTTCACCGCCATGTCTTCACCGCCATGTCTTCACCACCATGTCTTCACCACCATGTCTTCACCACCATGTCTTCACCGCCATGTCTTCACCGCCATGTCTTCACCACCATGTCTTCACCACCATGTCTTCACCACCAATGGCATTCTGCCTCAACATCTTCCATTCGTTCCTTCCAACCCATCATCCTTGTTCTCCCATCACTGCAGGAGGAGCTTTGGAGCGTGCTCAAAGAACCCCCCTGGTGCTGCTGTCTTAAAGAACAGTACATCCCACCTCACTGTCACTCCACTGTCACTCCACTGTCACTCCGTTGTCATTCATGCCTCACAGGAGGAGCTGTGGAGCGTGCTGAAGGAGTCCCCCTGGTGGCAGCGGTCGGGAGGCAGGGACCACATCATCCCCATGCTGCAGCCCAACGCTGCCATATGAAATTATCTCCCCCCACTCTCTCTTTGCATCTTATCATCCTCTTTCTTGCCTCACTGCAGGAGGAGCTGTGGAGCGTGCTCAAAGAACCCCCCTGGTTGCAGCGGTCGGGAGGCAGGGATCACATCATACCCATGCTGCTGCTGTCTTAAAGAACAGTACATCCCACCTCACTGTCCCTCCAATATCACTCCGTTGTCATTCATGCCTCACAGGAGGAGCTGTGGAGTGTGCTCAAAGGGCCCCCCTGGTTGCAGCGGTCGGGAGGCAGGGATCACATCATACCCATGCTGCTGCTGTCTTAAAGAACAGTACATCCCACCTCACTGTCCCTCCAATATCACGCCGTTGTCGTTCATGCCTCACAGGAGGAGCTGTGGAGTGTGCTCAAAGAATCCCCATGGTGGCAGCGGTCGGGAGGCAGGGACCACATCATCCCCATGCTTCAGCCCAACGCCCTACGCCACATTCGCCAGCGCCTCGCCCCAGCCATGTTCCTCCTGCTCGACTTTGGCCGGTCAGTCCCTCCAATGTGGTCTTCAGTGAGGTGGTTCTTGAGTTGCCTCGAAAAGGTGTATTTTGAGGCGCCTCAAAATACACCTCGCCCCGGCCATGTTCCTGCTACTCGGCTTTGGCCGGTGAGTCCCTCCAATGTGTTCCTCAGTGAGGTGGTTCTTGAGTCGCCTCGCCTCGGCCATGTTCCTGCTGCTCGACTTTGGGTGGTACGTTTGATTGGTCTGCCTCGTTGGGTGAGAGGCTAAAGTAACTTTCAGTCTTCAGGCACTCTTAAGGCGCCACATTCGCCAGCCCTTCCCCGCAGCCATGTTCCTGCTGCTCGACTTTGGCCGGTGCATACCAGGTTGTGGCGCGTCCAAGCAAGAACACAGTCGTGCCACCTCTGAACGACTGTGCAGTCGTGCAGTCGACTTTGCCACCTCTGAACGACTGTGCAGTCGTGCAGTCGACTTTCCCACCTCTGAACGACTGTGCAGTCGTGCAGTCGACTTTGCCACCTCTGAACGACTGTGCAGTCGTGCAGTCGACTTTGCCACCTCTGAACGACTGTGCAGTCGTGCAGTCGACTTTCCCACCTCTGAACGACTGTGCAGTCGTGCAGTCGACTTTCCCACCTCTGAACGACTGTGCAGTCGTGCAGTCGACTTTCCCACCTCTGAACGACTGTGCAGTCGTGCAGTCGACTTTGCCACCTCTGAACGACTGTGCAGTCGTGCAGTCGACTTTGCCACCTCTGAACGACTGTGCAGTCGTGCAGTCGACTTTCCCACCTCTGAACGACTGTGCAGTCGTGCAGTCGACTTTGCCACCTCTGAACGACTGTGCAGTCGTGCAGTCGACTTTGCCACCTCTGAACGACTGTGCAGTCGTGCAGTCGACTTTCCCACCTCTGAACGACTGTGCAGTCGTGCAGTCGACTTTGCCACCTCTGAACGACTGTGCAGTCGTGCAGTCGACTTTCCCACCTCTGAACGACTGTGCAGTCGTGCAGTCGACTTTGCCACCTCTGAACGACTGTGCAGTCGTGCAGTCGACTTTCCCACCTCTGAACGACTGTGCAGTCGTGCAGTCGACTTTCCCACCTCTGAACGACTGTGCAGCCGTGCAGTCGACTTTCCCACCTCTGAACGACTGTGCAGTCGTGCAGTCGACTTTCCCACCTCTGAATCCGCCCACCCCCCACACCGATACGCCCAAGGAGTAGCGCGTCTGAGCAAGGACATAGTGGTGCCGTACAATACAACCACATAGCGCCGGTTGAGCAAGGACATAGTGGTGCCGTACAATACAACCACATAGCGCCGTCTTACACACAGTTTGGAGACTTGTTGCCTTCCGTCTCCTGGTTCTGTTCTGTCCACCCACCCACTCAGGTACGCCCAAGGCGTGGCGCGCTTGAGCAAGGATATAGTGGTCCCATACAACCACATAGCGCCGCCTTACACAGAGCCTGCTTTTCCTTGTGCTACCCCTAACGCTTATCCCGCTAATGCAGGTATGCCCAAGGCGTGGCCCGTCTGAGCAAGGATATAGTGGTCCCGTACAACCACATAGCGCCGCCTTACACGGAGCCTTTGTTCTTTTCGCTTCCACTCAAACCTATCCCCTTGATGCAGATATGCCCAGGGCGTCGCCCGGCTGAGCAAGGATATAGTGGTCCCGTACAACCACATAGCGCCACCTTACACAGAGCCGGCGAGCTATGGGGAGGCGCAGGGGCCCTGGGAGGCGCGAACGACGCTGCTGTTCTTCCAAGGGACCATCATGCGGAAGGATGTGAGTGGCATGGGAGGTTGGGTGTGAGTGTAACGGGAAGGCGGTTGTGAGTGTAACTGACTGCAAAGAATCAAGAGTTTGTCCTTGGCATGATAAGGTACATTGAGTGAAAATGGGTCAAGTTGGGTAGAAATGGGTCAACAATGGGTAACATAACATCACCTCATTCATAGAGCTCACATCCTTCCTCCTTGGTTCTGTCTCGCCTGCTTTCATGTTTGGGAATGGCAACGGATCATGGCATGACATGACATGGTGTGCTGTGGTGTGCTGTGGTGTGCTGTGGTGTGGGTGACATGGCATGGCATGCCATGCCATGTGATGCGTTTGTTTTTACCGCATGCCATGGTGTGTTGCATTTCTACCTGGCATGGCATGGCATGGCATGGCATGGCATGGTATGGTATGGGGACGAGCAGGAGGGGTACATTCGCAAGCTCATCTTTGACATGTATCACAAGGAGCCGGACGTGAGATTCGTGGAGAGCAAGATCACCGGGCCTCAAGACATCATCTCGGTGGGTGAAGCATACGGCATGGTATGTTGTGGTGCAGTGCGGTGACGTGAGGTATGCCAATGTGAAGCTCTGGCCCTCGATCAGGAGCAGCAAGCTCATCTTTGACATGTATCACAAGGAGCCGGATGTGAGATTCGTGGAGAGTAAAATCACCGGGCCTCAAGACATCATCTCGGTGTGGCTGCTGTATGGTGTGGTGTGGTGTGGTGTGATACGGTACGGTATGCCAATGTTATGCCAATGTCTCTGAGAAAGGAGCGAGCTCATCTTTGACAGTGCCTCTTGGTCCCTCCCCTCCTTGCAAGCACCTTTTTTACACTTATAATTTTTACCTAAACAACATAGTTGCTGCCACGTAAAGTCATGGCGCCTAAATGGGGCCCACTTGCCACTTGGTCCCACCCCTCCTTGTCCTTCCCTCCACTGCATCCCTCCTTGTCCTTCCCTCCACTGAATCCCTCCTTGTCCTTCCCTCCACTGCATCCTTCCTTCCTTACTTCCCTCCTTCCTCTTCTTTCTCAACCCCCAACAGGCAGCAGAAGGGCTGAGGAAATCTCGCTTCTGTCTGAACGCAGCAGGAGACACCCCTTCATCCGCCCATCTCTTTGACGCCTTCACCCTGTGCATTCACTCCGTCTCTTCTCTCTCCCACTCACAGGCAGCAGAAGGGCTGAGGAAATCTCGCTTTTGTCTTAATGCGGCTGGAGACACCCCTTCGTCTGCGCGTCTCTTTGACGCCATCACCAGCCACTGTGTGCCAGTGGTCATCAGCAACAAGATTGAGCTGCCCTTTGAGACTTCCATAGACTACTCGGATTTCACTCTTTTCGTCTCTCATGAGGTGAGCTCTCCCTATGTGACGAAGGTGTGTCTCTAGAGGAGAGCCCTATCAGTGAGCCCCATCACCAGCCACTGTGTGCCAGTGGTCATCAGCAACGAGATTGAGCTGCCCTATGAAACTCGCATTGACTACTCGGACTTCACTCTCTTTGTCTCCCATGAGGTGAGTCTCTCTTTGTCTCCCATGAGGTGAGTCTCTCTTTGTCTCCCATGAGGTGAGTCTCTCTTTGTCTCCCATGAGGTGAGTCTCTCTTTGTCTCCCATGAGGTGAGTCTCTCTTTGTCTCCCATGAGGTGAGTCTCTCTTTGTCTCCCATGAGGTGAGTCTCTCTTTGTCTCCCATGAGGTGAGTCTCTCTTTGTCTCCCATGAGGTGAGTCTCTCTTTGTCTCCCATGAGGTGAGTCTCTCTTTGTCTCCCATGAGGTGAGTCTCTCTTTGTCTCCCATGAGGTGAGTCTCTCTTTGTCTCCCATGAGGTGAGTCTCTCTTTGTCTCCCATGAGGTGAGTCTCTCTTTGTCTCCCATGAGGTGAGTCTCTCTTTGTCTCCCATGAGGTGAGTCTCTCTTTGTCTCCCATGAGGTGAGTCTCTCTTTGTCTCCCATGAGGTGAGTCTCTCTTTGTCTCCCATGAGGTGAGTCTCTCTTTGTCTCCCATGAGGTGAGTCTCTCTTTGTCTCCCATGAGGTGAGTCTCTCTTTGTCTCCCATGAGGTGAGTCTCTCTTTGTCTCCCATGAGGTGAGTCTCTCTTTGTCTCCCATGAGGTGAGTCTCTCTTTGTCTCCCATGAGGTGAGTCTCTCTTTGTCTCCCATGAGGTGAGTCTCTCTTTGTCTCCCATGAGGTGAGTCTCTCTTTGTCTCCCATGAGGTGAGTCTCTCTTTGTCTCCCATGAGGTGAGTCTCTCTTTGTCTCCCATGAGGTGAGTCTCTCTTTGTCTCCCATGAGGTGAGTCTCTCTTTGTCTCCCATGAGGTGAGTCTCTCTTTGTCTCCCATGAGGTGAGTCTCTCTTTGTCTCCCATGAGGTGAGTCTCTCTTTGTCTCCCATGAGGTGAGTCTCTCTTTGTCTCCCATGAGGTGAGTCTCTCTTTGTCTCCCATGAGGTGAGTCTCTCTTTGTCTCCCATGAGGTGAGTCTCTCTTTGTCTCCCATGAGGTGAGTCTCTCTTTGTCTCCCATGAGGTGAGTCTCTCTTTGTCTCCCATGAGGTGAGTCTCTCTTTGTCTCCCATGAGGTGAGTCTCTCTTTGTCTCCCATGAGGTGAGTCTCTCTTTGTCTCCCATGAGGTGAGTCTCTCTTTGTCTCCCATGAGGTGAGTCTCTCTTTGTCTCCCATGAGGTGAGTCTCTCTTTGTCTCCCATGAGGTGAGTCTCTCTTTGTCTCCCATGAGGTGAGTCTCTCTTTGTCTCCCATGAGGTGAGTCTCTCTTTGTCTCCCATGAGGTGAGTCTCTCTTTGTCTCCCATGAGGTGAGTCTCTCTTTGTCTCCCATGAGGTGAGTCTCTCTTTGTCTCCCATGAGGTGAGTCTCTCTTTGTCTCCCATGAGGTGAGTCTCTCTTTGTCTCCCATGAGGTGAGTCTCTCTTTGTCTCCCATGAGGTGAGTCTCTCTTTGTCTCCCATGAGGTGAGTCTCTCTTTGTCTCCCATGAGGTGAGTCTCTCTTTGTCTCCCATGAGGTGAGTCTCTCTTTGTCTCCCATGAGGTGAGTCTCTCTTTGTCTCCCATGAGGTGAGTCTCTCTTTGTCTCCCATGAGGTGAGTCTCTCTTTGTCTCCCATGAGGTGAGTCTCTCTTTGTCTCCCATGAGGTGAGTCTCTCTTTGTCTCCCATGAGGTGAGTCTCTCTTTGTCTCCCATGAGGTGAGTCTCTCTTTGTCTCCCATGAGGTGAGTCTCTCTTTGTCTCCCATGAGGTGAGTCTCTCTTTGTCTCCCATGAGGTGAGTCTCTCTTTGTCTCCCATGAGGTGAGTCTCTCTTTGTCTCCCATGAGGTGAGTCTCTCTTTGTCTCCCATGAGGTGAGTCTCTCTTTGTCTCCCATGAGGTGAGTCTCTCTTTGTCTCCCATGAGGTGAGTCTCTCTTTGTCTCCCATGAGGTGAGTCTCTCTTTGTCTCCCATGAGGTGAGTCTCTCTTTGTCTCCCATGAGGTGAGTCTCTCTTTGTCTCCCATGAGGTGAGTCTCTCTTTGTCTCCCATGAGGTGAGTCTCTCTTTGTCTCCCATGAGGTGAGTCTCTCTTTGTCTCCCATGAGGTGAGTCTCTCTTTGTCTCCCATGAGGTGAGTCTCTCTTTGTCTCCCATGAGGTGAGTCTCTCTTTGTCTCCCATGAGGTGAGTCTCTCTTTGTCTCCCATGAGGTGAGTCTCTCTTTGTCTCCCATGAGGTGAGTCTCTCTTTGTCTCCCATGAGGTGAGTCTCTCTTTGTCTCCCATGAGGTGAGTCTCTCTTTGTCTCCCATGAGGTGAGTCTCTCTTTGTCTCCCATGAGGTGAGTCTCTCTTTGTCTCCCATGAGGTGAGTCTCTCTTTGTCTCCCATGAGGTGAGTCTCTCTTTGTCTCCCATGAGGTGAGTCTCTCTTTGTCTCCCATGAGGTGAGTCTCTCTTTGTCTCCCATGAGGTGAGTCTCTCTTTGTCTCCCATGAGGTGAGTCTCTCTTTGTCTCCCATGAGGTGAGTCTCTCTTTGTCTCCCATGAGGTGAGTCTCTCTTTGTCTCCCATGAGGTGAGTCTCTCTTTGTCTCCCATGAGGTGAGTCTCTCTTTGTCTCCCATGAGGTGAGTCTCTCTTTGTCTCCCATGAGGTGAGTCTCTCTTTGTCTCCCATGAGGTGAGTCTCTCTTTGTCTCCCATGAGGTGAGTCTCTCTTTGTCTCCCATGAGGTGAGTCTCTCTTTGTCTCCCATGAGGTGAGTCTCTCTTTGTCTCCCATGAGGTGAGTCTCTCTTTGTCTCCCATGAGGTGAGTCTCTCTTTGTCTCCCATGAGGTGAGTCTCTCTTTGTCTCCCATGAGGTGAGTCTCTCTTTGTCTCCCATGAGGTGAGTCTCTCTTTGTCTCCCATGAGGTGAGTCTCTCTTTGTCTCCCATGAGGTGAGTCTCTCTTTGTCTCCCATGAGGTGAGTCTCTCTTTGTCTCCCATGAGGTGAGTCTCTCTTTGTCTCCCATGAGGTGAGTCTCTCTTTGTCTCCCATGAGGTGAGTCTCTCTTTGTCTCCCATGAGGTGAGTCTCTCTTTGTCTCCCATGAGGTGAGTCTCTCTTTGTCTCCCATGAGGTGAGTCTCTCTTTGTCTCCCATGAGGTGAGTCTCTCTTTGTCTCCCATGAGGTGAGTCTCTCTTTGTCTCCCATGAGGTGAGTCTCTCTTTGTCTCCCATGAGGTGAGTCTCTCTTTGTCTCCCATGAGGTGAGTCTCTCTTTGTCTCCCATGAGGTGAGTCTCTCTTTGTCTCCCATGAGGTGAGTCTCTCTTCGTCTCCCATGAGGTGAGTCTCTCTTTGTCTCCCATGAGGTGAGTCTCTCTTTGTCTCCCATGAGGTGAGTCTCTCTTTGTCTCCCATGAGGTGAGTCTCTCTTTGTCTCCCATGAGGTGAGTCTCTCTTTGTCTCCCATGAGGTGAGTCTCTCTTTGTCTCCCATGAGGTGAGTCTCTCTTTGTCTCCCATGAGGTGAGTCTCTCTTTGTCTCCCATGAGGTGAGTCTCTCTTTGTCTCCCATGAGGTGAGTCTCTCTTTGTCTCCCATGAGGTGAGTCTCTCTTTGTCTCCCATGAGGTGAGTCTCTCTTTGTCTCCCATGAGGTGAGTCTCTCTTTGTCTCCCATGAGGTGAGTCTCTCTTTGTCTCCCATGAGGTGAGTCTCTCTTTGTCTCCCATGAGGTGAGTCTCTCTTTGTCTCCCATGAGGTGAGTCTCTCTTTGTCTCCCATGAGGTGAGTCTCTCTTTGTCTCCCATGAGGTGAGTCTCTCTTTGTCTCCCATGAGGTGAGTCTCTCTTTGTCTCCCATGAGGTGAGTCTCTCTTTGTCTCCCATGAGGTGAGTCTCTCTTTGTCTCCCATGAGGTGAGTCTCTCTTTGTCTCCCATGAGGTGAGTCTCTCTTTGTCTCCCATGAGGTGAGTCTCTCTTTGTCTCCCATGAGGTGAGTCTCTCTTTGTCTCCCATGAGGTGAGTCTCTCTTTGTCTCCCATGAGGTGAGTCTCTCTTCGTCTCCCATGAGGTGAGTCTCTCTTTGTCTCCCATGAGGTGAGTCTCTCTTTGTCTCCCATGAGGTGAGTCTCTCTTTGTCTCCCATGAGGTGAGTCTCTCTTTGTCTCCCATGAGGTGAGTCTCTCTTTGTCTCCCATGAGGTGAGTCTCTCTTTGTCTCCCATGAGGTGAGTCTCTCTTTGTCTCCCATGAGGTGAGTCTCTCTTTGTCTCCCATGAGGTGAGTCTCTCTTTGTCTCCCATGAGGTGAGTCTCTCTTTGTCTCCCATGAGGTGAGTCTCTCTTTGTCTCCCATGAGGTGAGTCTCTCTTTGTCTCCCATGAGGTGAGTCTCTCTTTGTCTCCCATGAGGTGAGTCTCTCTTTGTCTCCCATGAGGTGAGTCTCTCTTTGTCTCCCATGAGGTGAGTCTCTCTTTGTCTCCCATGAGGTGAGTCTCTCTTTGTCTCCCATGAGGTGAGTCTCATGCCTCAGGACCAGTTGTTTTCTGAGTGATACATCTTGTACAGGTTACAGGAGGAGGTGAGGGCCGTCACTTTTGAGAATTCTCAAAAGTGTTTTCTGAGTGAGACATCTCGTATAGGTGACAGGAGGAGGTGAGGGCCGTTACCAGCAACTGCGTGCCACTGATCATCAGCAACAAGCTCGAGTGCTCTTCCTTCCTATGCACTTCTAAAACATTCCCAACTTTAAAACATTCCCACCTTAAAAACATTCCCAACTTAAAACTCCTACCCCTAAAACATTCCCAGCCCTAAAACATTCTCAACCAACCCTAAAACATTTCCAACCCTTTCTCCATTCCCCACATTTCTCTCTCCCTCCACTCTTTTCCCCACAGGATGCCCTGCGCCAGGGCTACCTACTGCGCCTGCTGTGCACAGTGAAAGAGTCGTTCCTCCACCTTTCTCTCTCTTCCCGCCTACCTCCCCCCTCCCCCCCCCCCCCCCCCCCGTCCTCAGGACGCCCTGCGCCAGGGCTACCTGCTGCGCTTGCTGCGCACATTCCCGAGGGAGAGGTGGCTGCGCATGTGGCAGACGCTGCAGCGCGTGAAGCACCACTTCGAGTTCCAGGTGTGTTTGGATGTTCCCTTAAACACTTGTGTAGGCTTTTAGGCTGGTATCCCTCTTAATAGTGCTTGCTCATTCCCCAGGGAAAGGTGGCTGCGCATGTGGCAGCACCTGCAGCGCATGAAGCACCACTTTGAGTTCCAGGTGTGCTTTGGTCACCCCTTAACGCATATTAGGCTGGTAGGCTGGCCTGTTTCCGGTAGGCATGCTTGCTCATTCCCCACGCCCCAGGGAAAGGTGGCTGCGCATTTGGCAGCACCTGCAGCGCGTGAAGCACCACTTTGAGTTTTAAGTGTGCTTTGGTCACCCCTTAACGCATATTTAGGCTGGTAGGCTGGCCTGTGTCCGGTAGGCATGCCTGCTCATTCCCCATGCCCCAGGTAAAGGTGGCTGCGTATGTGGCATCCCCAGGTAAAGGTGGCTGCGTATGTGGCATCCCCAGGTAAAGGTGGCTGCGTATGTGGCATCCCCAGGTAAAGGTGGCTGCGTATGTGGCATCCCCAGGTAAAGGTGGCTGCGTATGTGGCATCCCCAGGTAAAGGTGGCTGCGTATGTGGCATCCCCAGGTAAAGGTGGCTGCGTATGTGGCATCCCCAGGTAAAGGTGGCTGCGTATGTGGCATCCCCAGGTAAAGTTGGCTGCGTATGTGGCATCCCCAGGTAAAGGTGGCTGCGTATGTGGCATCACCAGGTAAAGGTGGCTGCGTATGTGGCATCCCCAGGTAAAGGTGGCTGCGTATGTGGCATCCCCAGGTAAAGGTGGCTGCGTATGTGGCATCTCCAGGTAAAGGTGGCTGCGTATGTGGCATCCCCAGGTAAAGGTGGCTGCGTATGTGGCATCCCCAGGTAAAGGTGGCTGCGTATGTGGCAGCACCTGCAGCGAGTGAAGCACCACTTTGAGTTCCAGGTGTGTAAGTTGGTAGGCTGGTTGGCAGTAGGCTACTGACCTCACCTGGTGAAGCAACTCCTCTCCCCCCTTACCTCTCCCCTCTTCCCTTATTCCCGTTGCGACCAGGTGACGCACTCAGAATGGTACAGATGCTCAACCCTCATCCCGGTTCCATCATCTAAAACATGTGTTTCCATCATCCATAATACGCGTTTCCCAACCCTCCTCTCTTCCCCCTTTCCCCCCCTTTCCCCCTTCCCCCCCCTCCCCTCCTCTCCCTCCTTATACCGCAGTATCCTTCACAACCAGGTGACGCGGTCAGCATGGTGTGGAGGGAAATCCGCAAGAAGCTTCCTCGCGTGCGGCTCGCCATCCACAGGGGGAAGCGCCTAGTGGTGCGCGATTGGACCAATGTGTGACACTTTTGGGGTATCTCCCCTGTATGGGTAGGAAAAAATGATACATTGTAGAATGTGTAGTGTAGAAATACATGTTTTGGAGAAAGTGGGATGACACGTGTTGTACGCAAACTCAAACAAAGCTAGCACAAATTGCTGCCGGTATGTGTATTTGGCTGCGAATGCAACAGACTGCCATGGTCCAGTCCAGACCTGAAAGCTGCTCCTCTCACAACACAAGAACTCTATTCCATGAGTTTGCATGTTGCTCTTCACATTCCGGTGCTGTATTCTCCTGACATGTACCGGTACCATTCCAATCTCCTATCAAGGGGCTCTCGCTAGCAGACGAAAATATACTCTGTTCATCTAGATTTCAGACTCGTTTTTGCCTGGTTGTATGTTTTGGATTAAGGCTGTACCATCCATGCATAACATGCTCTAGTTTTATGCACAAACAAGTCTCAGTTGAGCTAGAAGGTACAGCATAACATCACAAGAGATTCCCCTATGGAACACCGTGTGGTGACTGGTCAGCCGATGATTCTCAGGTACTTTCATGGACGGACAGAAAGGTATAAAAATATGGTAATGGAATGAGCCATAATAGAAAATGAGGCCGCCACATTAGCATTTGAAGGATCACTTTTCAAAAAGCGCGCCAGCTAGGGGTCGAACCTAGGACCTCTCGCTTAGGAAGCGAACACTCTATCCACTGAGTTACAGGCGCACGGTACGATCTAACAAGTTCATTATAATAGCCCGTGTTAAACTGAAGCGAACACTCTAGCCACTGAGTTATAGCCCGTGTTAAACTGAAGCGAACACTCAATCCACTGAGTTACAGGCGCACGGCACGCTCTAAGAAGTTAGCAACAATGGCCTGTGTTAAACTGAACCCACTGTTCGTTCTTGTCAGGGAACAAATTGTCCATCAGGTGCAACAGTTCATCAATATAAATCCTCAGTTTCCAGTGTATTTTTTTTAGATACCGATATGACACCAAAAGGGTCTCAAGCATGCACAGGAGGAGTCTCAAGCATGAAAACAAAAGAATGACCGACTATGGTACCGGTATGAGCATTAATGCGTTAGTCACCAAGGCTCCCTTGTCTGTATGGAGACGCCTTGCAGGATGAGCCATTACCGACCACTTGTCTTACCGTAGGTCAACTCATAAGTGATATTTGAGTGAACTCCAAGGTGACTCTGAATCCTCTGAATGCGTTAGTCACCAAGGCTCCCTTATCTGTATGGAGATGCCTTGCGGGATAAGCCACTGCCAGACCCCTTCTCACTCCCCTTCTCCCCTGCAGCTGCCTCGCCAGGTGTCAACCCACGACTGGACGGGGAGCTGCCGTGAATCAGATCTTCCTTCTGCGTGATTGGAAACAAGGGGCAGGGGGGGTGGAGGGGGGGGGATGATTGGGGGAGGGACGGGGGGGAATGGGAAGCTTTGGTGAATGACTGGTGGAATAACGCGAAACACACACGATGGTCTGATGAGCAAGCAGAAGCAGCAATACAATTGCAGCATATGTTTGACAATGAATGTGACAACCATATTCTGTATGCAAGCATCAAATAGCCTCGGTAGTCCATTCAGGCGCCTAAAAACTTTGAGGGCGGGTAAGACTAGGTACATATCTGTTCAATTGTTGCCGTTGAGTACGGTGGTGTGCACTCTAGAGCATCTCTTTGAGCCGCGGGTCACCTTTTTTAACAGTGATACACGAACAGAAAGGACTCCAACTCTAACCATCCTAAGAGACTGCACCTGATGGTAAAATATAACCAATCTGCTGCCTAAGGAGACAATGCTAGGCCCCTGGGCAACAAAGAGGCGGGCGGACGAAGGCTGGGAGATACTTTGTCAGCAGGCTCGGCAGGACATACCTTGTCAGCAGGTACGGTTGGTCGAGATGGTGTGGAGGCAGGCTCGGCTTTGAGTGATGCCTCCACCTTGGGCTTGACGGGCGGGCGAGCAGGGGGGGGGCGCCTGGTAGAAGAAAGGGGGGGGGGGTTGGGGGGGTTGGGGTACACAGGCAGGGAGGCAGGCTTTGCTTTGAGTGATGCCTCCACCTTAGGCTTGACGGGCGGGCGAGCAGGGGGGAGACGACTGCATCTGCAGGGGAGATAGGGAGGAGGAGAGGTAAGGGGGAATGTTGCGTGCAAAATGACAACGAAGCAGGCTGTGCTTTGAGTGATGTGATGCCTCCACCTTGGGCTTGACGGGCGGGCGAGCAGGGGGGGGGGGCGACTGGAGTGGAGAGGGAAAAAGGGGGGAGAGGGCAAGTGAATCGAGGGGCAAAACCATATGGGCGACTACACATGGAGTGGTGCCTCAAGGTGGAGAACGGTTCTGCTTTGAGTGACGACGACTCCACCTTGTGCTTGATGGGATGTGTGCTGAGCAGCATCCATCAAAACCCGCTACAAGCCGGGTACTCACCCTGAAGCCTCGGGTAGCGGTCGTTTCTTCCCCTCCCCTGCCACGGCCCCTCCCCCCCCACCCCCTCCTGCCCCTCCTCCTGCTACCCCTGCCCCGCCTGTTCCCCCTGCTGCTGCGCCCTTGCCCCCCCGCTCTTCCCCTCCTCCTTCACAGTTGCTGCTCCTGGTCCTTCCAGCAATGCGGGTGCATCCCCATCCGCCTCCCTGTCCTCTGGCCGAGTATCAGGCTCCTCCTCCTCCTGGCACAGCCACCAAACACACAAGGAAACAGAATTGGAAGAGGAGGGGGGAAGATGAGAGGCCCGAGCACACCCACCCAGCTCTCCCCTTCCTCCTTCACAGCAGCTGCTGCTGGTCCTTCCAGCACTGCAGGCGCATCCCCATCTGCTTCCCTGTTGCCCAGCCGAGAGCCAGGCTCCTCCTCTTCCTGTATGGCAGGAGGCAAGTGGGGAAAGCGAGAAGAGGGGAAGTAGAGGTGAAGGTCAGAGTGGGTGTCCATCCAGCATTGCGGGTGCATCCCCATCGCTTCCCTGTCGTCCAGTACCCAGCTCTTGCCTTGCCCCCCCTGCTCTTCCCTTCCTCCTTCACAGCAGCTGCTGCTGGTCCTTCCAGCACTGCAGGCGCATCGCATCCCCATCTGCTTCCCTGTCCTCTGGGCGAGTGCCAGGCTCCTCCTCCTCCTGGCATTGGTGAACAGGAGGGGAAGAGGCGGAGGAAAAGATGACATCACACCTGCTCTTCCCTTCCTTCACAGCAGCTGCTGCTGGTCCTTCTAACACTGCAGGCGCATCCCCATCCATCCAAACCCAAAACGCAACGGGAGCATTGAAGTGCCTCAGAAGACTGTTCCAGCAGGCTATTAAGGAGTTGTATGTATTGAATGTCTGGAGCTTGCAAGGACACGGCACGCACACAGGGAGCGAGCGTGCTGCTTGTGCTCTGCTTGTGCTCTGCTTGTGCTCTGCTTGCGCAAAGCGGTTAGAAACGAATGTGAAGTACCTCGTCAGGTAGTTGCGTGTCTGGAGCTCGGGTGTGGAAGGGGACGCTGGGAGCATGCTGCAGCTTTGATAGATTCTCCAGCAGCCGAGTTCTGAAAGACAGGCATGGGACGAGGGAGAGGAGGAAGGAAGGATGAACGTAAATGACTAGAGCAGCAGCACAGCGTGAGTGAACAGGAGAGTGTCAGGGGCTCGGGTGTGGAAGGGCACACTGGGAACGTGCTGCAGCTTTAATAGATCTCCCAGAAACACGCCCTCGAGTTTTGCAAAACTCACCGCACAGAGTCTAGATACGCCCTCGAGTTCTGGTTCTCCATGTTGCTCGCCGTGATGTGATATGCAGCAAATAGTCCGAACGCCGACCAAACCATCAGGCACAGATGCATGCATGCGCACATGCTCACACACAATTACAACTCACCGCACAGAGTCTAGATAGGCCCTCGAGTTCTGGTTCTCCATGTTGCTCGGCGTGATATGCAGGGTGTAATCCGGGCCGAAATACTCGTAGTAGTCGTTGAACGGCATTCGATCCTCTAGCTCCAACCCCACCGCCACTCCCGTCTGTTCGAACGGAACGGACAGGGCGGAAGGAGGGAGGAGAAAGACGGAGGGACGAGGGGGGGCACAGGGAGGGAAGAGGGGGTGCGAGGTTGCGGTGTGATATGCAATGCAGCGTGTAATCCGGGCCGAAATACTCGTTGTAGTCGTTGAACGGCATTCGATCCTCCAGCTCCAACCCCACTGCCACTCCCGTCTGTTCGGATAGACAGGGATGGATACAGGGAGAAAGGGCGGCGTGTGTGGGAGAGAAAAGGGATGCGGGGTTGTGGTGTGATGTGCAAGGCGCACACACTCCGAGTGACTCCGCACCGACAAATCTAGATTGAAAAACCACAGGCAGTACTTGGATAGCGAATCCGCACCTGCTCTTGCCGCCAGGAGAGGACGAGGGCGAGGGAGTGGGAGAGGGAGAGGGAGAGGGAGAGGGAGAGGGAGAGGGAAAGGGAGAGGGAGAGGGAAAGGGAGAGGGAGAGGGAAAGGGAGAGGGAGAGAGGGAGAGGGAGAGGGAGAGGGAGAGGGAGAGGGAAAGGGAGAGGGAGAGGGAGAGGGAAAGAGGAAGAGGGGGAGAGAAGGGCACCTGAGCTTACCTCATAGCACCAGCAGCGCGCGACGTTGCGGATGGTGTATCCCCCTCCGCCCAGCAGCAGCAGCGGCACATTGAAAGAGCGCAGGAATCGCACACACTCCGAGTGCCCCTGCACTGACCGACAGGTTGAAAAAGCCCAGGCAGTTCCCCCACAGGGCAGTTCCCCCACAGGGCAGTTCCCCCACAGGGCAGTTCCCCCACAGGGCAGTTCCCCCACAGGGCAGTTCCCCCACAGGGCAGTTCCCCCACAGGGCAGTTCCCCCACAGGGCAGTTCCCCCACAGGGCAGTTCCCCCACAGGGCAGTTCCCCCACAGGGCAGTTCCCCCACAGGGCAGTTCCCCCACAGGGCAGTTCCCCCACAGGGCAGTTCCCCCACAGGGCAGTTCCCCCACAGGGCAGTTCCCCCACAGGGCAGTTCCCCCACAGCGAACCCGCCCCGTTCGTGTTGCCAGGAGAGGGGAGGGAGAGGGAGAGGAAGAAGAAAGGGGGAAAGAAAGGGGGAAAGAAGGGCGCCCGGGCTTACCTCGTAGCACCAGCAGCGGGCGACATTACGGATGGTGTATCCCCCTCCGCCCAGCAGCAGCAGCGGCACGTTGAAGGATCGAAGGAAGCGCACACACTCCGAGTGGCCCCGCACCGACAGGTTAAAGCACCCCAAGCGGTCCCCTGATAGCGAGTCAGCTCCGCACTGTAACACCACCGCGCCGGGCTGAAAAACGTCCATGACCTGTTGATTGGTGGGAACAAGCAACCCAGGTAGGACCGACAAGTTGAAACACCCCAGGCGCCCCCCCAATAGAGAGTCGGCTCTGCACTGTAGGACCACCGCGCCAGGTTGAAAAACGTCCATGACCTGTTGGAGGGAAGGAACGGGTTTGATCGCAGCAAGCCCCTATAACTCTGTCTAGTCTGGTATCTGAAAATTGACCAAGTCGATCAAAGTATCTAAATAGCTACTAGGAGAGAAAATCAAACACAAAGATTTTGCGAGTCGATCAAACAGAGAAGCCTCGCATTGAACAGAGAAGCATCGCATTGAACAGAGAAGCATCGCATCGAACAGAGAAGCACCGCATTGAACAGAGAACCATCGCATTGAATTGAGGAGCATCGCATCAGACAAAGAAGCATCGCATCAGACCTTGGAGATGAGGGGCTTGAAGAGCGAGAGGTAGCTGTCATCGTCGATCCCATCGTGCAGCGGCACATTGAGCGAGTAGTGCTTGCCTTTCCCGTACCCCGTGTCCCTTAGGTCGCCTGGGTGTGGGAGCAGGGGCAGCAGAGAGACAGGAAGCACACAGGAGGGAATCATGAGGGGCTCGAAGAGCGACAGGTAGCTGTCGTCGTCGATCCCATCGTGCAGCGGGTGTTTCCTGAGAATTCTCAAAAAACCATCGTGCAGAGACACGTTGAGGGAATAGTGCTTGCCTTTCCCGTACCCCGTGTCCCTTAGGTCGCCTGGGGTATGGGCGAGACAGCAAGAGGACGAGAAGAGGGGCTTCATTGAGATGAGGGGCTTGAAGAGCGAGAGGTAGCTGTCGTCATCTGCACTCCACCGCACTGCACCACACTGCACCACTGCACCACGACCTGGAAGAGGGCCTTGATCGAGATGAGGGGCTTGAAGAGCGAGAGGTAGCTGTCATCGTCGATGCCGTCGTTGGATTCAGGGGGTTAAGAGCGGTAGTGTGCGGTATGGGGAGGGTTGGAGATGAGGGGCTTGAAGAGCAAGAGGTAGCTGTCGTCGTCGATCCCATCGTGCAGAGGCACGTTGAGGGAATAGTGCTTGCCGCGGCCGTATCCCTTATCCCTCAGATCTCCTGCCAATGAGGGGAAGAAGGGTAAAAGAAGGGTGCCCCTGTCACACTAGGAGAGGCAAGCCCCACCCGCTCCACTAGGAGAGGCATCGTAGCTTGCCTTTATCCATGCCTCCCAAAGTGAATTGGGACTTCTGAGTAGACTCAACACCCACCCACTCAACACCCACCCACGGGCAACCTGTGCCTGGAATGCCTAACTTAGAACTCAAGTTTTGAGGCGCCTCAAAACTGGAATGCCTAGCTTAAAACTCACAGAAATTGTTACAGCTGCTCTTACCTGTTCCAGGGAAGTAGTCGCCAAATTTGTGGAAGGACACGGTCACCACTCGGTCCGTTGCGACTAGGTCAGTGAGGTGGGACTGTTGAGCACACTATCAGGAGGAAGAGCGCCTTTCTCACCTGTGCCGGGGAAGTAATCCCCGAACTTGTGGAACGACACGGTCATCACTCGGTTTGTCGTGTAAAATGCCTCCTCCACGCCATCGCCCTTTGATGACTGAAATTTACCCGAAATGACTCACGAGAGGCACCACTACCCACCTGTGCGCTGCTTGACCCCCCACCTGTCCCGGGGAAGTAGTCCCCCCAAACTTGTGGAAGGACACGGTCATAACCCGGTCCGTTGTGTAAAACGCCTCCTCCACGCCGCCGCCTTCAGCTTCTTGGCTGCCGTAAGCAAACATGCACCCTTTTCTTTGCCCACCTGTGACCCCATGACCGCTTACCTACCTGTGCCTGGGAAGTAGTCCCCAAACTTGTGGAAGGACACTGTCATCACTCGGTCCGTTGTGTAAAACGCCTCCTCGACCCCGTCGCCGTGGTGAATGTCAATATCGATGTAGAGCACACGCTGGGGAAATAAAGGAAGAGGGATCAAAACAGAAGGTATGGGACAGAAAAATGGAATGAATGAGGGAGAACGCCTTCCCCTCCCCACGCCATCGCCGTGGTGGATGTCAATGTCGATGTAGAGCACACGCTGAGAAGGGGGAAGGAGAGGGAGAGGGGTGCAGAACGGTTTGAGAGAAGACAAAGAGCACAAGGAAGGAGGACTCCTCGACACCGTGCCCGTGGTGGATGTCAATGTCGATGTAGAGCACACCCTGGTGGGAGAAGAGGAGGAAGGAGGGGCGGAAGAGACAGGCATGAGACAGAAGAATGACATGAGTGAAACGCCTCCTCCTCCTCCTCGCCGTCCCCGTGGTGGATGTCAATGTCGATATAGAGCACACGCTGGTTGATTGGGGGAAAAAGGGATTAGGGGTGTAAAGGAAAGCATTTGACAGAGGTTATGAGACAGAAAGGCCGCCTGCTCCTGGCCGCCGCCGTATGTTCAAGAAACTCACCGTGTGGTACTTGAGCAGCTCGAGGATCGCAAGCACAATGTCATTCTAGTAGCATAACCCTGACGCCTCGCACTTCTTGGCGTGAAGCAAGCAGCCCACCGGCTTCTCCTTACACAGCACAGTTGATGGCAATGGTCAAGACACTCACTGCGTGATACTTGAGCAGCTCAAGAATAGCCAGCACAATGTCATTCACGTAGCAGAACCCCGATGCTTCACATTTCTTGGCATGATGCAGCCCGCCCGCCCAGTTGATCGTAATGTCCGGTCCAAGTGCCCGTGGTTCAGCTCGGTTCAGCTCGGTTTAAATGGGCTAATCACACTTTCAAGAGAGGAGACTCACCGCATGATACTTAAGTAGCTCCAGAATAGCAAGCACAATGTCGTTCACGTAGCAGAACCCTGATGCTTCACATTTCTTGGCGTGATGCAGCCCGCCCGCCCAGTTGATTGCAATGTCTGAGTGCCCGTGGTTCAGCTTCACCGCACCTCCCACCGAGCCTCCGGTGTAGGTTTGGCAGAACTGGTAGAGCCCGTCGAAGACGGGGCAGTCCTCCCCCACGTTGAAGCGCTTGAGCATCCGCAGCTGCTCGTGCTGGTTCTCAGGAGTCACTGTTCTCAGGAACTCCACGTAGTCGTCCGAGTGGAACCTGGTAGAGGGAAGGAGGGTTGAGAGAGAGGGGACGAGGATCGTTGAAGCGCTTGAGCATGCGCAGCTGCTCGTGCTGGTTCTCGGGAGTCACTGTTCTCAGGAACTCCACGTAATCATCTGAGTGGAACCTGGTGGGTAGGTAGTGGGGGAGTGGGGACGGAAATTGTTCAAGAGAAGCTGCTCGTGCTGGTTCTCAGGGGTCACTGTTCTCAGGAACTCCACATAGTCGTCTGAGTGGAACCTGATAGATGAGAGGGACAGGAAAGCCAGAGGAAGGAAGGGAGGAAGGCGAGTGGCATGAAGGGCCCGTGGAAGGAAGGCGGGGCAGTCCTCCCCCAAGTTGAAGCGCTTGAGCGTCCGCAGCTGCTCGTGCTGGTTCTCAGGAGTGACGGTGCAGAGGAATTCGGCGTAGTCGTCCGAATGGAACCTGGCGGGACAGTGGGAGGGAGAAGGGAGAGAATGGAAATCGTTGAAGCGGTTGAGCATCCGCAGCTGCTCGTGCTGTTCGGAAAAACTCGATGTAATCGTTCGAGTGGATGGAACCTCGTAGATAGTGAGAGGAGGAGAAAGGGAATGCGGATCAACAAAAAGGGGGAAAAAAGGTGGAGATTTGTGGGGGTAAAGGGTCAAAGGAGGGCTTCAGCTGGCCGGATCCAGACATAACCCCGTTATAAGCACATTTCGCTTCAACTGCACAGATCCCTATCTCCAGCTTGTCATGCAAACCGGGGTGTAAAAACAGGCTGAAGGTCATCCGACTTCAAAAAGAACAGCGTTACAAGCCCCACCTCTTCATGTCCTTATCGCAAGCGCAACCCCGCTATAAGTCTCACCTGCACATATCCTTATTGCGAGCGAGAAACGGTTTGAAAACCTCGAGCTTGGTGTGCAGGCCGTAGCGAATCAGCAGGCTGCTAGTCATTCAGAATTGAAAACAACCCCATACTGACAGCAATCCGCCTCACCTACGCATGCCCTTACCGTCGCGCGCGGGAAACGGCTTGAAACTCTCCAAAATGATGTGCAGGCCGTAGTGCACAGGCTGTGGTTCATCCGGATGCAAGAACATCCCCGTTATAAGGCGTACCTGCACATATCTTTATCTCGCGCTGGAAACGGCTTGAAGATCTCGAGCTTGGTGTGCAGGCCGTAGTGCATCAGCAGGCTGTGGGTCATCCGGATGCGGTGCGGCTTCATGGGATGACCCTGGCCGTAATAGTAATTCCCCACGTCCGGATCGTAGAAATACGCGACGCGCTTCTTTCGCCCTTCCGGTCCCGCGAGGTTGCAGAGAGTGCCCGTCGAAGTCATGATGGGATTTGATTCTACTACTACCAACTGGGGGTTTGTCGCGTGGCTAGGATCACGGCACGCGTTCACGGCACTTACGGCTAGGTTCAGTCTACAACAAGTTTGCAGAGATCGCAGCACTAAATTTACACCGAGCTGACCTAAACGGCAGCTCCTGAGAAGTTACAACCCTAGTATTTGAGAAACGGTGAGGAATGAACAAATGAGACCAGTTATGCCTGTGAGGTGGACTTCAGGCAATTTCAAAGGGAAGCTGGATGCTGAAAGTCATCAACTCTCAGCTCTTGTTACAGGACCTCATTGAATCTTACCCAACCGCTTGAATATAGCAGTTTATCGCTTTGCCGTAAACCGAGGGGAGATGAGAGATGAAGGCGTCGCGAGATAGAACGAAAGACATCCATTTTGTGATTTTCCAGGGTCAATTCAACGTTACCCTTCCGTAACCCCAGCAGGATGACCTCTGTGGGCTAACAGAGGTTCCGGGTGTGAGGTCAGGTCTTGTTGCCTGGTTTGGTGGAGGAGAGCCTCTAGGTCTGGGAGAGTTGCGGTTTGTTTGAGAACTGTCCTCCCGATTCCACCGTTGTTTTCGAGTTTTGTGTTACAGGCCTCTCACATCAGCTCTCGGGAGCAGAAAGAAATTTGTCTGAGAGGTTGGGAGGTAAAAAACACTGCAAAATATCTCTCTCCACGTCAGGTCAGGTATGTCGCCATACCAAACCGATAAGTCATCCGCGTTGCAAGATGTATCTAAGGAAATTAGACGATACTCGCGTGATGGGTTCGGTAGCTGAATGTAGAGCCTCTATTTCAAAATGGAACATTACAGCACTTCAGGATAATATAGCACCTTGCAATTTCCACTAGGACCTAGAAGCTGACAATTTTCGCTCCACATTAAGTGCAATGTGACAAGACTGCAAGTAAATGAATCTGAGCTACTATCGTGAGTGTACCAGAGATTCTCCCTTCTCCACTCTCTCAAGTTTGGCCCCGCGTCATGCAATTTTCGACAAAGATGGAATGGGTTTGCGCAAATTCAGCGACTTGTTGTAAGGCATCTGGTAACTTGTCTCTTAGGAATGCTGCTTGTGGCTGCTACATTTCGTTATATCTCGCGATCCTTATCCTCTAATTTCTCTAACTTATCATCCTGGCAGCACACAGCATGGCACATCACAGAAGACATCCTAATCATGTGCATCATGTGCCACCAAACACGAGCTTCCTGCTCTCGTTTACAACCTATGCTGATCTATGAGCATGCCCACCCACCAGCATCTCCCATGGGGCTTCCCACAACACTGGGCGTGGCCCCACCTGTCCGCACGGCAGCATAGCAACCACACATGCACCTGCCACCCTCCCTCGTCCACTCCTACAATCAATCTCACCTGGCCAACTAACAACTTCCCTTTTTCACTAGCATCTTGCTGCCACCAAACATGAGCATCTTGCTCTCATGCAACAGGTGGCATCAGGGGCATTGGGCTCTATCATGTGCCACCAACCAAGCATGAGCATCATGCTCTCATGCAACAAGTGGCATCAGTGCCATACGGCTCTATCATGTGCCACCAACCAAGCATGGGCATCATGCTCTCAGAGCGTGTTCCTACACCTCGTATCAGAAACACCTCATATCAGCTTCGCGTGGTGAAATACGTTTCAGTGTGTTCGAATGCGGTTGGATGCGTTTTAATGCGGTTCGACACGCATCTGATACGAGGTTGCCTGATATGAGGCCGTAGGAACACGCTCTCATGCAACAGGTGGCATCAGTGCCATACGGCTCTATCATGTGCCACCAACCAAGCATGAGCATCATGCTCTCATGCACCAGGTGGCATCTGTGCCATACGGCTCATCATGTGCCACCAACCAAGCATAAACATCATGCTCTCATGCAACAGGTGGCATCAGTGCCATACGGCTCTATCATGTGCCACCAACCAAGCATGAACATCTTGCTCTCATGCAACAGGTGGCATCAGTGGCATACGGCTGTATCATGTGCCACCAACCAAGCATGGGCATCTCGCTATGGAACAGTGAAAGGCGACGGAGGAAAGACAGAGAAGACACAAGGGGAAGCAAACAGAGTAGAGACAGTGGGAAGATACAGAAGGAGGCAAAAAGAGAGAGGCGACAGAGGGAGGCTACAGAGGGAGGAAAACAGAAAGAGGTGACAGAGGGGGGATACAAGGAGAGAAAAGAGAGAGAGAGAGAGAGGTGACAGAGGGAGGAAAACAGAGAGAGAGGTGGCAGAGGGAGGCAAATGGAGAGAGGGGTGAGAGAGGGAGGATAGGGGTACAAAATCAGAGAGAAAGGTGACAGAGGGAGGATGCAGAGGGAGGAAAACAGATAGAGAGATGACAGACGGAGGATAACGAGATAGAAAAACAGAGAGGTGAGAGAGGGATGAAAACAGAGAGAGGAGACGGAATGAGCATGCAGAGTGAGGAAGACAGAGAGAGGTGACAGAGGGAGGATACAGGGAGAGAAAAGCGAGAGAGAGAGAGAGAGAGAGAGAGAGAGAGAGAGAGAGAGAGAGAGAGAGAGAGAGAGAGAGAGAGAGAGAGAGAGAGAGAGAGAGAGAGAGAGAGGACTTAGCCTCTGTCCCTTGCCTCTATCCCTTGCCTCCATGCTATATAAGTGTCCCGTGGGGGTCTCCTTCCCCCATTAGTTCATTCTGTTTTTAGTTTTTCGTAGGTGGAGAGAGCGAGAGAGAGAGAGGACTTAGCCTCTGTCCCTTGCCTCTATCCCTTGCCTCCATGCTATATAAGTGTCCCCGTGGGGGTCTCCTTCCCCCATTAGTTCATTCTGTTTTTAGTTTTTCGTAGGTGGAGAGAGCGAGAGAGAGAGAGGACTTAGCCTCTGTCCCTTGCCTCTATCCCTTGCCTCCATGCTATATAAGTGTCCCGTGGGGGTCTCCTTCCCCCATTAGTTCATTCTGTTTTTATTTTTTCGTAGGTGGAGAGAGCGAGAGAGAGAGAGGACTTAGCCTCTGTCCCTTGCCTCTATCCCTTGCCTCCATGCTATATAAGTGTCCCGTGGGGGTCTCCTTCCCCCATTATAGTTCATTCTGTTTTTAGTTTTTCGTAGGCGCTCGCGCCGGCGGCCTTCGGCCGCGTGCCTAGGGGTGGCAAGGATTAACTGCATCACAACCACTAAACAAACACCACAAGACGGCCATGAGTCACGCACCGCGCTACTAGATTAAGAAATGCAAAGGGTCTACGTGCGGCGGGTGCCAGACACTACATCTGATGGGCATCCAGCACCGCAAGGATACCACGCATGGTCCGCCACAGTTGCTGGACCACTAACGCGCTCGCGCCTAAGGCTTCAATCCCGCCACCAGCTTGGAGGTGTGCGGTCAGACCCTGGACCGTTGCGTCCAGTTCAGAAACCGCAACACCTCCCATCGCGGGCGCTGCCAGCACGGGTAGGAGGAGGAAGGCAAGCTGCGCAGCTGCAGCCTGACAGTCAGCTCGCGCCCCACGACCGAGAGTGCTCCCTGGGCTCTGGAGAATGGCGAAATGCGAATTCACCAGAATCAGTGACAGGGCCCGCTGACACTCCGTCAGGCGCCACAGCTGCGCAAGGGTCGCCGTGGGAACTTCAGCCACTCCGGTCGCCAGCGCCGCAGGCGGAACCGGAAGCGCGGGCGGAGGCGGCACGGACGGAAAATCAGCAAAGCGCCGCGGAGGGACGAACGCCCCTCTCGCCCCTCTGCCTCCCGCCCCCACAAATCCCGTGTCCGGGAGCGGGGGAATCCAGGGCAGAGGGGGATAGGGCGCGGCAGAAACAGGACGCACGGGGACAGGGGGGGCATGATCATCGCCAGGAGTCTGAACCTGCGGGAACGCCGAGGCGAGCGGAGCAGGAGCAGCAATGGGCGCGGCCGGAGCCTGCGCACTCACATGCGCCGGTGCGGGCGGATGAGCGGCGGGAACCTGGGAGTTCCCAAGATTCGGTGCGCCATTCAAGGCATTGCGCATCGCCGCAGCTAGCATCCCCGGGAAATCTTCACGCAACTGCTGCATCTCGCTCGGCCCATCACGCCCGCGACCGTGACCTCCCCACCAGCCACCGCGGCCCCCGCGATGCGCCGACCGATACGACGACGAGGGGCGACGGCGAGGAGAACCGCGCCCCCGATGCGCAGCCGCATTGCCCCCCGCGGCCCCGCGTAACTGTGACTCCGCGAGTTGCTGCGCGACGGGATGTGCCGGCGCAGCCGCAGGGGCAACCAGGTGGGCGGAGCCGGGGTCTGCGCCCACCGCCGTCCCCAGTGCGAGGCCTCCAGCGACAGCTTGGACAGACGGGGGCGCCACAAGCGTTGGCTGCGCAACGGGATCCGGCGCGGCGGACGAGGGAACAACAAGCTGATGGCTCGGCGAGGGAACCAGAGCCCGCGGGACCGGAGCTGTGGACGGCGCGGCAGCAGCAGGGGGAGCCCGGGGAGCAACGGGAGCAGCGGGATTTGCAACAGCAGCAGCAGGGGCTGGGGCTGGAGGCGGTGCAATCACGCTCTCGGCGGTGTGACATTGGTCCACCGCTGACTTCTCCATGTCAATCGCCATTACGCCGAACGCGTCGGCAGCAGGCGATCGAGGACGCACGGGCGCGTGAGAACGTGCGGGGAGTTAGTCGAGGAAGCCCAATGCTGGCCGCGGCCAGTGCGCGGATGCGTGGTGGCCGTGCCGGAGGTCGCGGCCGTGGTCGGAGTATGCGTGAGGGTGGTCCGGAGAACGCGTTCCAGGAGGCAGCGAGAAGGGCTTTAAACATGCTAGAAAGAGCTAATGAGGAAGCTGCTCTTTCGGGGAGTATTTATGAGGCGGAGGAGGTAGCGGAATCAAGCTCGAATGCCTCGGAGGAGG